AAATCTTTCCAGTGTTATTCTTATTATCTTGGCCTTACTATTTCCACTGATCTGAAATGAAACCTAATAGTTGCAACTGTCAGGTTGTACAGAATGAAGTTGGCAAAAAATATATGCAAGGCTTTCCGTGTTTTGGAAACAAATGCAAGGCTACAATGAAATAAGTACTGACAGCAGGTTAGGCCGATAAGTAAATTATTAACCTTTAGACCAGAAAAAGGACCTTGTGTGCAATTATACCTTCCACTCCTGATATTCTAATGCCATTATGCCTGTAACCCTCAGGTCAGGGTTTTTTGGTCTAAGATCCCTTTTCTTCAACTGCAATCTATTATTTGCATAATATTATGTTATACTTAAAAATCATTAAATCTAGTTGTGAAAAGATGTAAAACCCGGGTGCACGGTAAGTAGATTGATGTTAGACTTTCATAGGTAGAATATTACAAAAACTGAAGCCATAAATTAACAGGTTCATCAATATACATTTAATAAATAAGATACAGTGTTAGAAACACTTGGCCAAAGAACATCAGTGGTCAATATATGCAGCCAATCCTCTGATGGATAGCAAAGTCTGGTGACAACTATAAAATGTGATATTACTAACCCAAAAGCTTATAAATGCTGGGTAAATTGAAATTTTAAGAAACAAAGAGATGAATATTTGGCAGGGTATCAAGCAGTGTGGTAAAATGGCAGGGAAATAATATTAAATTGCAGATCAGCTATGATCTAATAAAATGGTGAAACACACTCACAAGATGAAAGGTCTACTCCTATTCCAATCCTATGTTCATATTGCAAGCTTTCTCAGTTTTGGAAATAAATGAAAGCAAGCAAATTCTGGCAGCAGGTCAAATTAAAGAGAAAATTGGGCTTCTGAGAGATAACTATAGCAATATCAGGTTTCATAATAATGCCATTTGCAAGAAGAACAATTGCAAGAACAAACATGATTGTAAGACGGTGCACAGCACAGACAAGTAAACAACAGTTTATCTAGGATCAATTTAGCCTTCAGTGAGCCAGCTAGCTGGACCAGCTTAGTACTGAGCCCTTTTTTTGCAGACTATACAAATGAGTTTGTTGAGCATCCTCCTCCCATCAGCCAGAATTTGGCAATTTTATAAACTCTCGGCAAGCTAAGAACTGCTTTATGTAAGAAAATGGATTTCTTCATACTGTTAGTTGGCACAGTAATGAGCTAGTAACGACAGCCAGGACCAATGAAAAATTGCAGAAATATCTGCCCAAAATTGCTGGGGGAAAACACCAGCTTGGGCCACAATGGTCCATTTCCACCCACACTTCATTTGAAGGCCTGGAGATCAAAAAAACACAGCATTGCTCGCCAAGCTCGCCAGTGTCCTGACTGTTATTGGAGGTCACCACCTACTGCGTCTCAGGGAGCGCCACGCGCACAGACAGAGAGAGAGAGAGAGAGAGAGACACTCACAAACACAGAGAAAGAGAGAGAGACACACACACAGAAAGTGAGAGACACACCCACACCCACACAGAAAGAGAGACACGCACGCACACAGACAGAAAGAGAGAGACACACACACACATACACACACACAAAGATAGAGACACACTCATAGGCACAGAGAGACACACTCATACAGACAGACGCACACTCACAAACACACACTCAAACGTAGGTGAGAGAGACACAGACACATTCACACAGAGATACTCATAAACACAAACACATATAGGACATGAGACTGATTTAAGTAACAACTTGATGATGTAAGGGGAAGATGGGAGAGTTGGTATTCTGAGAAGATGAGATCAAATAGGCTGAAGGGTCTTCTTTATCAAAACTCCTCTTTTGATCTTGTGCAACTTGTAGATCATAAATCCACTACTTTGATGTTGGAACCTTTGGTTTTTAACCCCTTCATACCTTTGAAGTCAGCGTTTCAGACAAAATAATATTACATTCACATGCAACAATTAAGAGGTATGGTATAATGATAGGAACGTTTCCCAACTGCAAGAACTAAAACAATAGAATATACACAATTTTCTCTCCCCCGCCAATCTTAGCACTATTTCACCCAACTTAAAACAGATTCCAAACAAGTTCACACAATCCATTATCTGACAACAGATATTTTCATTTCAATACTGTTTAGATCAAAGCCTCTGCCACACCATGGAAACGCAGCACTGTTGTGATGCTTACATCAGTACACAGATAACAAATCTATATAAAACAATGCTCCCATTCTAAAGTAAGACTGTTGAGCCTTAGGTAAGCCTCAGATCAGAGACTTTGCTTCCCACAGGCTAACTTTCTTAAAGAGACAGAATCCTCAAACTTCTGATTATTACGCCACTGTATTTTGAACTATATTGTTTTACTCCTTAAAAAGCCTGCTTCCAGGCCAAGTAGCTAATTACCTCAAAGTATAAGAGAAATTATTCAGATGTTTGCACTCTGATTGTTCTAGCTCTAGAAGGGGTCATAAGAACATAAGAATGCTAGACGAAAAAAGACCAAAGTCCATCTAGTTCACCTTCCAGGTGGTCGCATGCGCATGTGTCCCAAACTATCTATGTACTATATCCCCTAATGTTATTTCCTAAAAGAAAACTATCTAATCTGTGTTTGAAAGAATTAACACTTCCTGCTTCAGGAGTCAGGAGTCAAGGGTGGAGATGTTATTTTTCTGCTTCAGGAAACTAACGTGTGAAGTCAGAGAACCCTTATTTAAGAATAGTCTGTGTTTCAAAAAAATCAATTCTATTCATATACCCATGTTTCCCTACCAGTTCTGCAACGTATACAACAGAAACACACTAATCAAAACAAGTTAAGAGAGTATGTAGGAAATGTAAGGAGAGCCAAACAGTCCATCCATCTTTCATTCAGTATAATATAGCGACAAGGGGATGTAAAAGAGAATTTAGGAGGAACTATTTCACACAGAGGATTGGGAGAATGTGGAACTCGCTGCCGAAAGCAGTGGTTGAATCAGATAGTATAGATGCATTTAAGAGTAAAATAGATATACAAACGAGGGAGAAGGGAATAGAAGGTTATGGGAGGGAGTAAGGAGTGGATCGAGATTCATGGTGCAGGCTGGTTGGGTCCAATGGCCTGTTTCCGTGTTGCAAATTCTATGCAAATCTATGTAAATCTCAAGTTGGAATCCAGTACAACGATAAGTCAATGGTCTTCACTCTGAGCTATCAGAGTCCTAATAAGATGAAGCCACAAGACAAACTTGCTCTCAGAAAGGTTGACGACAGGAATGAGAGATTGGGAGTGGAATGTTGCACTGTGCTGCAAGGTTGAGCTTACAGGTTATTTTTTGGTGGGCAGAGTCTTGGAATGATGTCACCAGGATGATGTGCCCTCTGATCTCTCAAAATATTTTGGGCTACTTAATATTCACCCATTGTACTCCTATATGAAAGTAGATCACTTCATGTATCTAGACAGAAATCAGATTTATTCCATGATCAAATACTTTTACACTGATTTAACTGCCCATCCCCCCGAAATACATCTGTAGGATATTAAACCTGCTTATCAAATATAAATGAATAAGAACAGAAAAGATTCATTAAAAATTAGGGTGGTAAACACATCCTGTTTCTAACTGGTATAAAGAACCGAAAAGACATATCGTAACTATCACCATTTCACCACTCAGCAATATTGGAAAACGATCTACATATTGGTTTGAAACAAAATCAGCAGCCTTTTTGATAAAAGTGCTTTAGTTTTCTTTGCTACTTTCTGGGATGTGTTGGGGCTACTGTAACAAGCTGTGTAACCTGCAGAAGTTGCACAAGTAAAAGTAGAACAATTGCAGATAAAGATCTGGCCCTGAGTCGTGGTATTTCTGTGACAGTGTAATTGCTTGAGGAAGTTAGCTGATTCCATTTCAAAGTGCTTATTCGTGTGATATGTTGAATTATGGTTGACGGAGTACTGAAGCAGTAATTTCCTCTCACTTCTCACATGACATCATAGGCCACGAGAATGCAACTCGGATGATTTATGAACATTGTCTGACCTTCAAGATTAAATTGTAGCCTTCTACTTACTCTCTGCTATCCAGAGGTTTCTCAGAAAATCTACTTTTGTCTATAAAATGAAAGTGGTGCTATAGGCATCACTTAAATAGCTCTGTGATTACCCTGAATGCTGGGCAAAGCGGTTGTGATGTCAGCAGCATAGACTTTGTCTATTAAACAAATGTCAGAAAGGTGCAGTAAGGGAATTATTACTTAGCTCCAAAATAGAATTATAGGGAAATTAAGAGTCTGATCTATACCTGATGAGATAATTAAATTTGAATGTAATTGTTCATATGCTCTGCTAAATGGTGCAAAGTATATTCCGAACTAAAACTGAACTACTGGAGAATTAGATTCTTCACCAACACTGCAGGTAAGAATGTTTAGAGATTTCAAGTAATAAAACAGCAATACTGAATTGTCCCTGAAGCTTTCTTTTTCAACTCTAAATTCAATACTATTTGAAACCCATCCTATCAATATCTCCTCTTCCATTGGCAGTGTTGCGATTATAGTCTTGTTAGAGGTTGGTTGCTAAATCCAGATTAAAGTTCTGAAATTATCCCTGCTTATTGTTAAAACAAATTGGTTTCATCTTTGTATGAAGGAAATTGGAAAAAAATTGGATTACTTCCCCTTACTGTAAACTTCAGAAATGTGACAAAAGACTTGCAGTATTTTAGCAAATTCCATATTAACACAATCTGTGCCTATGGCCACCTCTATTATTCCTCGCTCTCCTTATTCAATGGGGAAGGTCCTGCTGATGTGAAAGGCGCTATGCAAATGTAATTTTGTATTGCATTGCATTCAGTGTCCAGAGCCATCACTGAAGAGCATTCCAAAATGTTAATCTACATAAAGAGCACTATGTAAATGCAAGTTGTTGTTAAGGCAAGGAAGACAATTCACAATAGTTAAGTGATTTAAACAACTGGTCGCAAATGGGCACTTACATTTGTCGATTAGTGTACATCTTGTTTACTGTTTCCCATTTGGCATCCAGCTGAGCCACGGCATTCCGTACCTGCTCTGCTTCCGTGAGCGAGGCACTCTGGAGGACTGCAGGTTTCTTGCTGTGAACGGCCTCTACTCGGCCAGAGAGTTTCTCCAGGGTCTCTTTTATGGTCTAAAGTTCAGAAAAGAAAAGTTCAGTAGTTTCAGTTTTAAGAGGTAAAAATCTCAGCAGTGTGAGCACATTGATAAGGATTTTGAATGTGTTTAGAGTATTGGAATCTCCATTAACAAAGGTCCTGTGAAATTTCATTTACTATGTAAAAGGAGTGCGAGTGGAACCCATTAGCAGCTGTATAGACTCTGGCCTTTGGGGAGCAGAACTATTGCTGCGTTTGTGAACAAAACGGGGGAATTATTTGTGAATACAGTACCAGCTTATTTTAACTAACAGAAATAGGCTTTTATCCAACAGTGAAAGGACGTGACCCTTGATTAGATCCAATTCCCAGACTTTTTAAGAACTGTTGTGGGGCAAAAGCACACCATTACTGCCAGGATTTGGAGCAAAATCTATTTTCCCACACAACTAATTTATTTCTGACTCAGATTCCTCTCCTACACTCAGCCATGAAACAAAATCAATGCTCCCCTTCTAGTCACAGAATCTGTCAATAAACCCTTTTATACATATATACATTCACCAAACTACTTCTGTATCACCATTTGATGCACTACCAATCACCAAGAAAATAAAAATAACAGCAACAACATTACATTTGTATAGTGCCTTTCATGTCAGGAGGACGTCCCAATAAGTTTGCTGAGTTCAACTGCAGTAGCAACTAAACAATTATATCTTACGAAGTTAACAAAAAATATTAATTCACTAGAAGGTACAAATGTTACTAAATTTTCCTTATCCATTTAAGTTCTCATTGTATAAATATCTTGAAGTGACTGAAAAGCAAGTATTGTATTGGGATAGTGTCCTGGAACACCACACTTCAGTGTCACAGAGTGATAAATTAATAAATAATCCTTGCATTTGCTCAAGAGCTTTATCACGTGAACAGAACATCTCAAAGTGTTTCACAGGACATTGCTTCAATTGTAATAACTGTAGCTGTGAGCAAGCATGACAGTCAATTTCACACAGCAATGTCCCACAATCAAACAGTGATGCAATGTAGCTTGTATTTGCCATTCTATTGAATTTGTGAAGTATGGAAGAAAGGATTGAGTAGAGGCCAGTTATCTTCCCCTCAAAAAAGGAGCAGTATCTTCAGACTGGTCTGACCAGAATGGTCTGTCAGCATCTCATCGTGAGATTACGTTGGGCCATTGGTTGCTTAAAGAGTAATAAGTGCACAGGCATTTGACGGTCGCTATTTGTTTAGCCATCTTACTTTTAAAGTATCAGACGCTTTCTGGGTTCAACTGTAATTGAGGGATATGTGTATGCCAGAACATGTGTGAAAACAGCATTGATGTGCCAATTGGGGTGTAGGAGGGTTGATTGTTAAATGGGTTGAACTAAAGGATTAGCCTAGCATCAGCGCAAGGTGTGGGAGTAGATTGCTCATTGGCCTGTTCGCCCACAAGTACAGAGCTCAAAGTGACAGGGAGGCAAAAACCTCAAATAGCCTAAAAAATGGGAAGGGATTTTATCTAATCTGAGAAACTTTCTGGGAAACTGTATTTGTTGGATAGATACCTGAAACAGTTTCTATTTTACTTTTTCTGAGAGACTCACCATCAGTACTTACCTAAACATCAACTAAACAGTTAAAAGCATTATAGATTTCCATTCACTTCAATGCTGTTTGTAGGAAATTACTGTGTATAAATTGGCTGTCACATTTGGATCCACAAATAGACAGTTACTACACTTTACAGTAAATTCTGTGAAACACTTTGAGACTTCTTCCCAAAATGAAATGTAAGGTAACAAATGCAAGGACTATTATAATCCTGACCCCTGACTTTCCAGCGCCTTGGGACATCCTCCCAACGTGAAAGGCGCTCTATAAATGTAATTTTGTTGTTGTTGATAACCATCAAATGATTGGCTATTGGGAGAGTCAGATGGACACTGTACTCAAAGAGTTCAAAAAAGTGCAAGCTGTGTAAAGAAATTGCATAGCAGGCAATATTATTGATTGTACAATAGCAATAAAAAGAAACTAGTTTTTGAGAATACTGCACTTGGAAGGCAGTTTCACCAATGGGTAATGGTTAACATCACTCGTGAGAAACTGCTAGCAGAAGTAATTTTGTCCAATACATAATGCTAATCTCTTAGCAATGAAAAGATAAAGACTATACAATAAAGGGGACCCAATAGAGCCATTCTAGGGTATGAATAAAGTCAACTGTGTGGAAAACTCACAAGGGGAAATCAGGAACAAGGAAAAAGAATGTAATTTGTAAATTTAGGATGAGTGCATCACAAAACCATTCTCTATTACCTTTGGAAAGTAAAATGTCATTTGAGATAACCAAAGAACAGAGAGTATTATCTCCTCCTGCTGTCAGAGATAACCTCTTGTGCCTGAGCTATTTGTACTTTGTTGAACAGGGGGGGGTAGGGGTTGGGTAATAAACCAAGGATAAAATTCTTCCCCACCACTTTACGATAATGAGGGGTGATCGGCTCTCCAAGTAACATACTTTTGAATAGCTTTATATGAGGTTTGTTTTACTCAGAATGTAAATTCATTATTGCTTGTTATCCAGTCAGCTTTCTCTTTAGTAATAAAATCTATTTTAAATGGCCTTAATTCATAGCAGCCCTTTTAACTGCAAGAAACATTATTCATGAGCAGCATCTCTTAATCAGCATGGTGTTCAAGGCAATCAAAATATATTCATAAATTAATAAAAATAACCTTTGTTTTTTTAAGGGTAATAAGCCCAGAATCTCACCTATAAGCTTGTAAGATAATTTTGCCTTAAAATTTATTATCACACAGAATTGTGAAATATTGTTCAATTCACTCTGAACTTGGAAGACAGTTTTCTTCTGTTCTTCAACAGAAACAGTTTTCAAATCAATGAATTTAAAAATTTCTTCATTTAATTTTAAGCATCTTAGTTTTAAGACAAAGTACTCTTACAACGACAACTTGCATTTATATGGTGCCTGTCTCATACAGGCATTTACTTTACTTACATGAAGAATCATTGGAATGTTAGAACTAAACACAATTTGCAGGAAACTGAGAAGACAGCATTAAAGCATTAAATCATCAAATTAAAGGCAAACATGTTATTTCTGAAGGGAAAATAATTTTTTTAAAGTAATTCTGGGAATAATTTGATTTCAGAATTATTAAATTGTCAGAAATTAAATGTCCCTAAATAATTCTCAGAAAATTGTTAAGAATTATTGAAGTGTTTATAAGACAAGTTAATTAAAAATCAGTCTTAAATTCCTGATCAGAATTCAGCAAAACAAAACATTTGAAAAGGATTGTATTTGAAGATGAGAAGACTCAACAGTGAGTGGGAAAGACCATTTTATAATAATAATCCTTGCATTAGTGCCTCTCACATAGGGAGGGTTCACATAGCGCTTCACAGGATTTACAGTGATGTAGAGTGATGGTGCATTTGAGGAAAATCTTGCAGCCAATTTGCGCACAGCAATGTCCCACAAACAACCCTGGAACAAATGATTAATTTTAATTGGGGGATCTTATCCCAATTTGGGGGAAAGCCTTTCAATAATTAAACAAGTAACTTCAGCTTTCAATATATCCTGTCCTCCTGCCTTGTAGGATAAGAATAGTGCTTCACGGTTAGCTGCTGATTGCATTCAATGCATCAAGAGCAAGGATGTCATGATAGACACCATTATCATATCATGCAAAATTCATATTATGACATCCAATATCTGGTCATTTAGACCAGAAAACCAGAAGATTAGGATCTAAATATTCAACTTATTCATTACAATTTTTTGGGATTTATCTTTGTGCAAACAAGGTTACTAACTGCTTGAGAACAATTTCACCTCAAATTTAATTTCAGCTGCAGACACCAGCAGCTGTACAATTTATGCTCTGTGTTTTTTTTTATTTTTACTGTTGGGTAATGACAATGATAAATGCGTTTATCAGGAAATAAATATTCATTAAAGAGAGACCCAAATCAAACATCCCGCCCTCTCTCATTCTAAAAGTCTATGGATGTACAAAGATCATTTGTAGCTGCAGATTTATTTTGGGCGAAGATGGAACTGTGCCCATGAGTGCATCTCATGACAATTTAATAGTTCAGCTAAATTAAACCTAAGGCAATACTCTTTTGTAACCAGAGCAATCAATATCATTAATGTTGATGTCAGCCATAATCATATCAGATATATGTGAAAGAACATGTGAATAGTTGTGTACATAAATCAAGCTGGTGGCATGTATTGACAAAACAATAAGGAATATAAGGCACAAAAGTGAACATTCCTTTCAGATTCTGTTACAATATTTGTAAGAAAATTGGATCACAAATTTGAAAAGAAAAATATTAAAGAGAACGGGGAAAGAGTGGGGAAATGTGAATAGACAATAAATGATAATAAATAATCCTTACAATTGATATAGCGCCTTTCAAGTCAGGAGGACATTTCAAAGTGTTTTATAGTATTTACTATAACCTGTAATGACTGTATATTTTGTAAGCAAACACAGCAACCAATTTACACACAGCATTGTCGTACAAATAGCTATGAAGTGAATCACCAAATTTTTCAGGGAACTGTTGACCAGGACAGCAGGAGAAACTCTCTTTTCGAATAGTGTCATGGAATTTTTAATGTCCAGCTGCACAAGCAGATGGGACCTCGGTTTAATGTCTCATCTGAAGGATAGCCTTCCAACAGAGCAGCGCACATCCAGGACTTCAATGGAGTGTCAGCCTGGACTATGCAAGTTCAAGCTCCCGATGTAGGATTTGGATCCACGGCTTCTGACTCAGAGGTGAGAGTGCCGCATACAATAATAATAATAATCCTTGCATTTGATAGAGCTCTTTTCATGTCTTCTAGACATCTCAAAGCGCTTCATAGAATATACTGTGAAGTGAATTGATTCTATATTTTGTGAGCGAAATTAGACCTCAATACAACTTTCATGTTTTCTCACAAGAGATGGGGGAGGGGAAGTTAACCCATGCTAATTCCATTTAAATTATAAAATAAAATCAATACATAGAGTGAGAAACAAAAGAAAATATGGAGCAAACAAAGGACAGCTGCATGAGTAGGATTAATGCTTCCGGGGATTTGGTGGATTGATTGCTGAAACCATTAGCCCAGTGTCAACAGCAGGAAAGAAAGCAAACAAGATCTCAGTGTGTATTGCTGAAAGGAAAATGCACATGTCACAAGAAAGTAATATTGAATCAGTACACACCCACCTGGAGTAAAATTCTGGTCACTGGATTACAAGAGGGATACTTTAGCATTGAGGAGGTACAGTGAATGACAGCTAAATTGATAGCTTGAATTACACATCCGAGTTACAACGAGAGGCTACAAATACTGGGAAATTTTACAATGAAGAAGAGAAGACTTAAGCGAGAATTTAGGGAAGTAGTCAACATCTTAAAGTCTATAGGTAAGAGTCCTTTAGAGTCCTGTAGTTTAGTGGTTGGAGCATTCGCCTGGCAGGGCATAATAATGCATTTGATATATACAGCACCTTATTACATCTCAAAGCACTTCACAAGATTTACTGTAAATGGATTGACAGTTATATTTTGTGGGTGAATGCAGCAGCACAATTGTGCACAACAATATCCCATAAACAGCCAAGTGAGTGAGTGACCAATTTTGTTTGGGGGATTGTTGGACAAGATACTGGGAGAAAGAAACTCCCTTCTCCTTTCAAGTAGTACCTCAGAAGAAGGAAGACGGACAGACAGCTTTCGTTTCATTGTTTTACCCAGAGTTTCAGGGGATTTCATTTGTAGTTTAGGATTAATAACAGATTACTAAACCCACTAATGGCACTTGAGAAGTTTTATTCCTGGGTTCCAGCGTCAAATTACGTGACGTAAAGAAACACGCATTCTGCTATAATTCCAGCAGTCTAAGAGTTAAGACATCAAGCTGAAGTTTTGCATTTTTAATGTACAATAAATTAATTATTATCTGGCAATGAAGCATATCAAACCGTGACCAAAGCTTTGGCGGGATATAAACTGGCATGGTCAAAACGTACAGCAGTCAGAGGGAATAATTTAGAGGCGAAAAGTCTGTTAAATATACTTCCAGCTTTTTTGGAGTGGAGAATTAATCACAAAAATGGGAAGTTGTGATGTGCTCTGCAACTATTGAAATGAGGTTTAACACTTCAGGATGTTGTACCTTTAAACAATCCTCCTGTTTGGAGAAATCTTCATAGTCCTTGACTTGACGCTCCAGAGAGTTGAGCCGAACTTCCACTTCACACACAGCTTGATGAAGCAGATATACCTCTGACAGGTAGGCAGAAGGCACGTAAGAGGTTTCAGGCATTACCCCTTCAGTCAGCGCAGTTACGGTACTCTCTTCATAAACACTCTGCTAGCATGAAAACACAGGGTTATTTCAAAATGTAAACATTAGTGAAACTGAAATTTAAAAAAAGCAAGTCTGCAATTCCTTAAACCTCACTTGACCCAAATGGAGCTGCTGTTTCTAAACAGATCCTCAAAAGATCAATTTAGAATGCATTTTATGGGCAAAAACAATTAATTCTAGGTAAGGCGCTGTTTGAAAGTTGGAATTCTGTATCAGATCCAAGGTTTTCTACATTTAAGTGGATTTTACAACACCAGCTATGAAATCTACTGCCAAAAGTGGATGTTTCAGCTAATTCTAAAATCCCATGTTGCATAGTAATTGTTATCAGAAAGATTGCATATTTCTACAGCATGTAATTTGTAGTCTAATTTAGCTTTTTTTAAAAAAAGAAAAAAACAGTGAAGTCTGGGCTCGCAGATGAGGATAATTAAATGTAATTCATCCTGCAGGTTCTTGTAAAACAAATCCTCTTCATGGAACAGTGATGAATCAATCCAAATAGTAAATTTGATTTGCAATCAAACCAACTTACCAACTTCCATAACGAAATGTGAATGTGAATATCAGCTGTTTATCTTAGTTCAACCAAGTTATGATTCTACAATCAATAGCAGCTCTTTGCATGTGAAATTTTGAATGAAAACTTCTAAGCTAATTTGGATCCATGGGTCAATACACACTATAAAACTCATTTCTCAAATATTTGATCGGTTTCCCTGAATAACTGTTTAAGTGTAATTGTGATGTGTGTTGGGTGACGAATTACTGTCAAACACAGAATGAATCATCTTGATCAATAAGAAATACATAAAAGTAAGATTTCCACGCCACATGAATCTTACCACTAGCTATTTAGCTCATCTATGGCATATCACTGTTATAATCTAGCCAACTGGTGCATAACCCAATTTGACAAAAATACAGTACTCACTTTGATACTGAAAGGCTATATACTGCCAGGAAAAAATATGGTATGGTACGTGACTATCAATCTGTCAATCTGTATAGCTTTATTTGTGTTATGAAAATGTTAACACACAATGCAACATTCTGCATTTTTGACTGTAAACATGCCAAACATATACAGCTATAAGCATTTTTGTAGTACTGTGTGGATGAAAATGACAGCCATGATATGCCACAGAATACTTCCACGCTAAACAAATACTCAAGGTCCATATGCAACTTTTTTTGTTCCTGGAAAACTAAAGGTAGCACCTAAAACAAAAAGTGAAATATATTCAGTAAAATTCAATGTTAAATTGCATGAGATATTCTATTTTCAGAATACAATTGGACTATGTGGTCTCCACACTTAATGCAGCTTTTGAAGTCTTTTGCCTGTGATACTGTAATTACCATTCAATTTACATGATGTCATTTATTCATGGGCCTACACAGCTAAGAATAAACAATTGATGAAAGAGTGTATTGCACACTAATATACCATATCCCACAAATAAAGTGTACCAGGTAAGTACTCTTTCCCTCTCATTCATAGGACAGTTGTTATTGCCTACTGTTAAGCACTCTGAGATGCCACCCTCACGTGATGGGCACTAAATAAATGCCAGTTGTTTTTGATAGTACATATTATGCTACCTAATGTGCTCTACCAATTGCGTAGCTATTTTCATATCTTGATATTATATAAAAAGGATGTGATTAAAAAATCTTTTAACCATGTGGCAAAAATACATTTGTTTTGTTATTCTATTTTGAGCTCACCAAGTTACTTTATCTGCTTCCTTCTGGAACCGATGGCAATGTTTGGCCCTATTATTTAATAGATTTTGAAAAATAGCTGTTTAAGTGAATTAAAGTGCTGAGTGTTTGCCTTAGTTGTAACTAAATTTGGAAACTCACATGGGACAAGAGCATGTAATCTATTATAGTCTTCATATTGGCTCAAAGTAGACTGGTTATGCTTTCAGTCTATGCAAATTTAGAAAATTTCAAATGTGTTTAAATTAATATACTTGCTTTTAAATATATTAACAGAATTTAGTCACATTATATCTCATTATACTTGCTTAGATGTGATCAGTTAAATATAATTCTTAAATCTGATATGTTGAAAATATTTATGAAAAGTGATTAAAATGCTTTCTTTTACAAGGCACACTCAATTAAGTTTCTTAAGTAAATTACCCTAATTATTGTATTTAAAATGAAGCTTAATTCATTATTCCCCAAACTAAATATGACTTAAATGTGTGTTATTTGTTTTATGAGTTTGGAAAAATCTGACTCTAAATAATGGGGTCTGGAACTCAGCAAAGCATCTCGCTCTATACTAGGTTGTGTTTTGAGCACATATTGTTTTTATCATGAAATCCTATTTGCTAGAGTAAAATAGCTTGTGCTTGAGTGTTCCTGATTCAAAATAATTAAATAGATGAGAGTAGAGAATTAAATAGAAAGGAGTAGAGAATGAAATAGACAAGAGGTAAGTTTTGCAAGAGTAGTTTTTCATAGAATGATGCCCAGAAATGTTGATCTAAAAAAGGGGCTGGAATGGAATCTGATTTGTGATATTTTTGAACAGACTATGATTTACAAATTTCATAATTGCACACTTCATCCTTGAAATCTGTTTGAAGTATCACAGATTACACGCAATGATCCCCCAGATAAAATCGGTCATTCACATCATAGTTCTTCGTAGGACACTGCTGTGTATAAAATCTGCAGCTGTATTTGCCCACAAGAACATTGTCACTGGATTTTACAATGTATGCTGTAAGGCACTTCGGGATGTCCTCGCGGCGATAAAGGAGCTACACCAAATGTAAAGATTATTTATTTTGTTAAGTAAAGTGTAGCAACTGTACATTTGTAGGTGAATAAGCTTAATAATATCAAGCAATATATGTCCAGGAGGGGATAGATCTTGTCTGACGTTTGAAGCAGTGACAATTTAATAGTGGGCAGCCCTTTGATGAAAGCTCTTGACAAAGTGCCACATGAGAGATTCCTTTATAAGTAGTTGTTACTGGTTGTCAAGAATAAAATATAGATTTAGATTAGGTAACCAACAGAAGGAAAGATGTCAGAGGATTATTTTTCAGGAGAGTTAGGTGTAAATGGGGAGAGGTATTGAGAGGGGTGATTCTGGGGTCCCTCCTGCGAATCTTCCCATTCCTATTCACATATATAATAAAATATATAATATTCCAATGTACTATAAATAACGACCCAGATTTGTAGATTTGGTGCAAGGTAGTGAAATCTGCAGATAAAACAAAGGTGGGGCTATGGCTATGGGACACTATGTTCGAAGGACACTGCTGTGTATAAAACCTTACGAAGAAATACAACAGAGTTTGCACCTGAATTTATCAAATTGCAAATTGAGTTCAATATCAACAAATGCAATATATTTCATGCAGAAAGTTAAAATAGAAAGCATAAGTAATTCATGGAATAGAACTTACAAAGCTAAGAGATACCTAAAGGTGTTAACATGTCATTCACTGTAAGATGGGTATTCCGGAAGGAAGAGATGAAATGAGCCATTTTTATCTTTATTTATCCAAAATGTTCTTGTAATCATTGTCCAAACAGTGTGAGGCAGCAAAAACACCTCAAACATGATTCTGGGCTACATTGCCTAATCAGCTGAGTTGAGAACAGAAAAAATGTGTTCTGGTTAGGCCATACCTCGTTTGCTGCACACAATTCTGTTCATTACTATATAGGGGTCCTGCAGTCAGTGCAAATTCCAACAACCAGGCTGATTTTATTGAAGGAGGATACAATGTAAGGAACAACGTAAGCTTTGAAAAGTCACAAAGAAGGTATAATATACAAGTATATTAGATGTGAAATGTGATTTAGAAAGGAACCCAGAGCAAGACTTTGAGTACAACAAGTCAACATGACAAGAAGGGCTGGGTTGGGCTTTGAAAAAGGTTCTGGGCTTTGAAAAGCAATTTTACAATACAAAATTACATTTGTATAGCGTGTTTCACCTCGGCAGGATGTCCCAAGGTGCTTTTGGGACGTTTCCAAATTTCAGAAAGAAAATTTTGGATAAACAAGGGCCTCCAGCCCATTTAATGTCATCCTTCCAGAATACCTACCTTACAGTGAATGATACGTTAACATCTCTAGGTATCTCTTAGCTTTGTATTCCGTGACTTACCCGTCTACAATTTTTGATTTCTGTGTGAAATATAGATGCATTTTTTTATATTGAACTCAATTTGCAATTTGATAAATTCAGGCACCTTTAATTTTAGATTTAAAAAAACATTTATTTGGACAGAGGACAATTGAAAGTCAGAATGAGTTACAAAGAGTGGTAGAAGCCAGAACCATGAATTAATTAAAGAAAGAACTTGACACTGTAAAGTGACAAAATGGACCATGCATGTCCCTATGGAGGGGGAGGAGGAACATGAGAGGAATCTATGCAGCGGAAGAACATGGGTCACAGGTAGTGTGTGACACTGGGGGAAAAAGAGATTCATACCCTCTGACACCCAATTAGCTGATTGATAGGACAGGTCTGGTAATCTTCAACATTTTTATTGAACTTTATTAGTAGTCCTTAAATAGAATGTAAAATGTTACAGTGAAAGCCTATGAAACCAGACACATCTGGGATGGACGTTTTGTCCATCATAAGAGGCGTCCAAGGTTAGCCAAAGTTCTCTTACCTCATCCCACCCAGCAGAGGAGCGGTGACATTCCGATTGGATGGGAAGGGGACTAATTAGCGACGGCGCTGAGGTGAATGACAGCCTTGAAGCCGCTTGTGAATGGACGGACGCAAGTGGCTCCAGGCTTGTCAATCAATCGCGATTTTACTCCTCCCATTCCCTCCCTTGTTCTTTCCCGTTCCTCCACCCCCTCACTGATTGACAGCCCAACTCCAGCCGCTTGTAAAATGGCTGGCGTTTGCTGTCAATCAATCTTTGAATCCTTCTATCTCCACCCTGGAGCTGCTCGTGGATGCATGGAGCCGCTCAACACAGAAGGCCCGAGTGAGTACATTCGGCATCGACCAGTGTGGCAATTTGACCAGACTAACCAGACTTTTGTCAGAATCAACAGCCATATTTAAAACAGGTAAGAATACAAATGTATCGGGGCCCGGCGTTTTGTTTGATCTACCCAACATCCAGGGTTAACCAGTGTCTGCCTAAAGCAGATTCCACTGTAGATGATTTATATTTTCATCTTAAAAATCTGTTTCCCAGTGACATTTCATAAGGATACTTGATACCTGGGGTATACATTTTTTTCTAAACTCTGAACAGAACATCTAATCTATATCTTTAATTTACTGAAAACAGAGCAAAAACGTACCTGTGATTTTACCCACGGAAATTACATTGCACATACGAAAAACACAAACCAGTAAAACTGTAAAAAAAAATCCTCAACCAAAAAAAGTTGCATGGAATGAACCATTTCAATGGTTAACACTTAATGCTGTATCTTTTGAGTATTTGGCACACTTGTCACACATTTTCAATTTAAGTTTTGGAAATCATGAAACAATGACGCAAACAAACAAAAAACATGTAATATTATTTTGTTTTTAGCTGGAAGCCTTTCATTCTAATGTTTAAACAGGATTATTTGAGTTTGGAACTGTTTGGCCCCTAAATATCATTTTAAACCATCATTATCAAAGAGAAAACACCTGAGAAACAAAAACCCTTACTTATGCATTTGCATTAAAGCAAACACAATAGAGCCCCTAAAAACAAGCTCTAGTCCTTTATGCGTGGACCCATTTTAGCAAACAATGCAAGTATCTGCTTAAGCTTGCTGTGGGGAAACTCACAATTTTTGCATAGTTCAATCTTCGATACTGAGCAAATTTGTTTTCAATTTCACGCCAGCGTTTGTTGAGCTGGATCAGCTGCGGCTCCAGTGCCTTGGCAGCCCCTTCTTTTGACAGGCTCTGTGCTTGTCTGCACAATTCATTCAGGTCTCCTCTCTTCTCTTCCAGTTCAGCATCCATCTCCTAGTGAGCAAAATCATAGGTGGCCAGTGCAGTTAGCTAGCTATTGTGTCACTTACGGCATAACAGCTAAACAATGAAACTGCGAGATAAACAGTTTAAAATAATTGCTCTTCCTTTTAGACGCACACTATTTGGTTATTGTCTAATGGTCTAAGAAGTCAATATCCAACTTAATATGGGATCTTATGAATTTCTTTATCAGGATTTTTTTTTAGTTATGGCAAACGGGATCAATCAAACAATGCACAATGGTGAGATGATGAAACCTTTGGCTCATATCTTCACAATGACAAGTCCAGATTCTATCAGGAGTCGCATGTTGCAGAGTGCCAGCTCTTAACCAGCTGCTTGATGATAGTAGAGCTGCCAAGTCATGCTGGCAGAGGACGGCAGTTGTTACATGCACCAGATTGCCACCGCTCCTACTTGGTAATTGCAGAATTGGTGTAGCTGGGCTTTTTCAATAAGATTGCACTCGCTTTCTGTGTTATAAATCCATACACTGCAGGAGATAGTCTGAAGTATTTCTAAAACCTCATACAGGACACAGCTTTCTTAATTTCTGAATCTGTATTCTAGATAGTTTCACAATATAATTATCAAGATTACTAATGATCTCAACACTTGGCGTCATTGAGGCAGAATGGTTACTGTTTTGCTTGTAATACAGCAAAATAATCTTCAAATTGTGTAAGTTAATCAACAGCTCATTTGAAATTATCAATTTAAATTTAATGTCGAGGGCATCAACTGGTTTCCACTTTGTCATCATCATTCCTCACTATTTAAAGTTATCAACTAATAAACTGTTACACATTAATGCAAGCAAGTTTCTCTCTTGAAATTATTTAAATGTGTTCATCTTCAAATATATTTTAATTGGTCAAAATGACAAAAGAAAGTAAAGAAGCAACACAGGATTATGGATTGCAAAAAAGCAGTGACTCTGCCATGTACAAGTAAATCCACAAAGGTCTGGCTATGACAGATGTGAAATATGTTCTGAATGAATAAGTCACAGAGGATATACTGGACAAATATGTTAGAATTTAAGTGCATAAATTGGACAATTACCCCTTAATTCTGCACAATGAATTAGTCTTAGAACTGCATCCAGTTTACAACCTCAGTCATTTCTACATCTGGAATAATCAAATGCTAAAAATGTGAAACATTTCAACCGGGTTATGCACCACAAGAGAAGGTCAATGTTCTTCATTTCATAATTGCCGTCCCTGTGATAATTCAAGGTTTACAATCAGCAGAATTCTGATTACTTATTTGTTTCTAAGAATAGGTGTCAGGAAATCCTTTTTCCCAGATCCAGACGGACTGTGAGACAGGAACTAATAACAAGCTGTATATTCACTGTTAAATCTCAAATATATGACAACTATATTGGGAATAAGTCATTCAATGTGAAAGGAAGTTATTCTTAACATTTCCCTCAGCTCCCCAGGACATCCAATGCCATCTTGTGCTTAAGGGATTCATAGAGGAAACTTCCACCTGGGCTTAGATTTACTCTATTTAGGTTAGATTTCAGAGAGTGCAGAATTTGGTAAGTTATTGAAATCAGTCTCAACTTTAAAGTCAGCTTTTTGTAATTCTTAAAAGGCAACCTACAAAAACTGCTTCAAAATTAAGACTGTTTTTAAGAATTTGCCAAAATCTGGAGGGTCTTAAATAGAGAGCAAATCTAGATCCAAGCTGAATTTTCTCCATTCATAGGTTATTAAAAGTTTAAAACAGCAAAATTCAGAAGTATCAATAAAGCAAGTTGTATATTACATTCAACAAAAACAATAACTTCCTTCACATAGAATAACATAATAAAGTATTTCACAGTAGGGAGTGGAGGAGAGGTGTGAGCGAAGTTGATTTGTAATGACACGTTCCAAAACTTTGGCCAGGAAGGGCAGGTTTGAGATAGGTCTGAAATTTTTGAGGTTGGGCGGACCAAGCTTTTTTTTTAAAGAAGAGGAGTGATTTTGAGGGGGAGTCAGACAGAATCTGAGGAGAGGGACTGGTTGATTGTGTCAGCCTGCAGTGGGCAGAGGAGGAGGAGTTGAGTGACCAGAAGCTGGGTGGGGATGGGGTCAAGGCAGCAAGTGGTGGGCTTCATCTGGGTGATGGTGGGGGAAAAGCAGTAGGACGCGATGGGGCAAAGGAGTGTAGGGTGGGAGCCGTTGCAGGAGAGGGTGATGAAGGAGACATGACAGTGTTTGGGAGGCTACATAAGTGGGGAGGAGGAGGCAGAGAGGGCAAGCAGTCCTAAGTTAGCCGAGTGGAGTATGTGATCAGAAATGTGTGGTAAAGGAAGATTATAAAGATAGGAGATGCTAGATGAGGATGAAGACATTGGAATTGATCCATAGGGAGAGTTTGGTGCAGGTGAAGATGTGAGTCTTCAAGTTCTGAATCAGTTGGAACTTATGGAAGGTGGGACAGGGGAGACTGATAAGGAATGCATTGCGAAAGTCAAGTTGACAGATAACAAAGGTGCTAGGGGACTTTAAGGGATAAATTAGTTTTCTTTCAGATTGAGTCACATATTCCCAATGCATTGCAGTCAAGTTCTTATCAGTAGACTCTGATTAATCAACTGGACCAGAAAGAAACAACACCTGAGAAATTTCTCACACTGTTAAATTTAATGGCATTGAAGATATGTGCTGGTAATGGCACACAGCAAGGGCTTCTGTGCATTATCAGACACTTCACTTAACCATTTAATTTCACACCAAACATCACCATTATCTTTCGTTGCCTACCTGTAGAGTGAAACATTTACACCTTCATAAAAAAATAAATATTTTTACAAATAGGGAATTATTCAAACAAAAATGAGCTACAAATCTGAAATAAACCAGAAAAGTACCAAAACATCACAGCAGCTCAAATATAAATACAGGTTCAATGAAAGATCTCAGTTAACCTATTTAAATCAGATAAATAAATAAAACAGGTTAATGGTTCTGTTAAAGAGTCATGCTCTGAACGTTAACATACATCTCTTTTTTTCCAGATAATGACTGACCTCCTGTGGGTTTCCAACATTTTCCAACTTTTATTAAAAGAAATTCAAACACCTTTTATCTGAAAGAATGTTACCTTAATCTTCTGGTCATCTTTGGGTTCTGGAAGACGGGCTAACCTTTGTTCAATTTCATCCAACCACTGCAATAGATTGTTGGTCTGTTTCTTGTACTGGTACCAGTGAGGTGATATCTCAAGAGCCTTTTTCCTTCTAATGGATCTCAGGTCCTAGTCAAAGTTTGAACAATAAGTTGTTTAAAGACAGCAAATTAGAAACATGGTGGAACATTAGAGCTTCAAACTGAGAATATCTGTGTTTGAAATCCGGGAAATCTGCCCAGTCTAATTTTTATGTGTCTTGCTCTGATGTTTTTTCTGGCAAAACGTAATGCCTGTGTTGACAAAATAGTTATCAATATCAGCCCTGCCAATAGGAAGTACACCTAAAAATAAGGTTTGCTTTTTTCTTCTAATTTTCTCCCTGTGTTTTATCCTGAAGTCACACACTCTTTCTGGAGTATAGTTTTGTAACTTTCTTCAAGAACTTGTGGGGCAGAACGGCTGGCTTGCTTCTGTTCTCATCTGATACTTACCAGCAGAGGTTAATGACTAGCAACCACGGCTGAAACCCTGATAAATGTAGCTCTCCCTTGGGCAAGCCTGTGCCAATTGTAGCTCTGAGAAAGCTAGGATCATTCAGCATGAAGCAGGAATTGAACTTGCCGTATTCCATTGCACAATGCAATACATTCAGCAATACGGGGGAATCGAAACTGTGCAATTGCTAATGACTACTTTGCTGTGGCCTTACACTAAATATGAAATTTTGTGTCCAGTCCTAACTCTACAATTCCTATCTTCCATTTGAATAGTTTGATCCCTGATACCGAATCTATAAACAAAATACGCTTAAGCATCATTTTCAAAATAGATCACATTAAAAAGTAATAACTTTCACTTTTTTAAAAAAAAAATCTGCATAGCTCTTATTTTCAGTTGTGAGAAAGTAGAATGCACTGTCCCAGAAGACTATATGTTTGAATTTTACTGGGATGTTTAGAAGGGAGTTTAGAACTTGGGAAGTAAGGATGGAGAAAAGGGATTGAGCATCTACTATGGTATAATAAAATCCTTGCCTTTCATGTCAGGAGGATGTCTGAAAGCACTTCCTAGGATTTTACTATAAAGTGTGATTTCCACTTCCTAAGGTTCTTATGAGGCTGCTGTAACTTACTCCCACCTACACTTCTGTAGTTTACTATGGGCCAAGCTGAAAGTGAAGTCCATTGTTTCTATACAATGTGGCCATCATGTCAGCGAGACACATGAATCAATCCTGATCTGATTGCTGGCTGCAAAACAATTGCCCCCAAACAGATCATCCATTTATTTATTTTGGAAAAAGTTCTATCCTACACATTCTGAAATGTATATAGGGCACACGTTTCACACCACATAGAATTAATCTAATAACATTGCAACACAGTGCAAGTGATTCAGAATGAAAACGCTAAATATTCTTTGTGAATGTTACTGCATATCCCTTAGTTCAACCTGTCTACTTTAAAATTCTCACCATCTGCAAATGTCTGTGCTTTCCGAATTGCTCTGAATCAGAATATGTCCCCATTTTACTTAAACAGCTTCAACCTTGTTTTGCTACGTTTACAGAATGCCTACCTTAGCTCTATTAAAACTCATCTGCAGTGGAAAGATAATATGAAGAGGTCATGTTAAAGAAAACATTTAATAATCTGGTCTACAAAGAGATATCTGCATCTACTAATGACAATGTATTGGGTTCTAAATCCACCCCGAGCAAATAAAGGTGGTATTAAGAAGTAATCTCATTTTGATTTTTGTAACAAAATTTAAGATTTATGTTCCCTTGGCAAACTGGGGCAATTCTGAATATTAATATTAATGTATACAAGAAAGCGATATCCTGAAACACAAAGCTAAACCTCTTTCCTGGTATTACGAGGAGCTGTGCAGGTGACTTTGTTTCAGATACTGTTGAGTGATCATACCTTGAGAATGTTAAATTTAGCCTGCAGCATCTGCTGTTTCATCCTAATTTCTTCTTGCTTTCTCTCATCCGTGATGCTCTGTTGTAAACTGTCTCCCCGTTTTGTCAATTCATTCACTCTCCGCTCATCATCCTCATTCTGCAAGATTAACAACAATAGCATGAGACAAAGAGGCCACAGTCTAAAAACTACAGCACGTCCTTCTTAGGCATTAACCTATTCCTAAGGACTTTGAAGCACCAGATCAGTGTTGTTATGTCAGGGCAACAATTTGCAATCTTCCTCTTCATAACAATTATCTGACCCAGGAATGGTTATTTTATACAAAGTAAAGACAATTCTCCCAGAATAGCAATTACTGGGCTAACTCCACAATATTTGAGAAGAGGCCAAATATGTTGGAACAGTCAGTGTACAATTAGTTGCATTGCAATTTGTTATCGTGATTAATTTCAGCAGCAGTAATATCATAGAAAGTAACTGCATGTCATATAATAAAGACATTAAGGATGATGAATATTTTAGGAACTCTATTGGGGCTGAATCAGTTATAAAGCTGATCCCTCTGGGGTCTGAGTTTGTACCAGCACAAGCGGAAATGTCAAAAATTTAGAAACGACCAACATGTGCATCCCTCAACTTCAAGAGCACAACATAGAAACCACTGTATGTAGGGCGAGAGTGGTGGTAGTGGTGGGGGTGAGACTCAAAGCAGTTTATAATATGATTTTTTTTAGATACATCCTAAATACAAGCACCAAATACAAGCAAACTGCAATGGTACAAAAATTAACCTTTACAACTAATTCACTGCTGTGAGATATATGAGCAAAATAACAGTTTGATTACAAGTATTCCTTTGCCTTTATTATGGAAAAGATCTAATACATTGGAAAGTATTTCTTAAATGGAGTACTGCCTTCATGAAAGAAGGGCTTGCAAATGTTTTGTTGTTTATTTGCAAACATAAGGCATGACGACATAAATCATGGAAAAAAACAAATGGTGTCAATTGGACAAGATGTCATTGTGATGAAATGTTTCCCTCCCAAACAGTGGTTTAGAAAGATGTTCAATAGAAGTTTTCAATGAGGCATTAAAAGCAGGAGAACAATTCATTAACACGTGCACTACTGGATTCTTTGCTGAAATATGCAATGGGTCTAAAATGTTACATATGTGAACCAGAATTATTGTGTTAGTTGCAACGTAAAATTCTCAAAATAGCAAATTGTGAATGGCAATTTGAAAAATTCCAACAAAAAAGGTTGGTGAGCAAAATCTTGGACTTTATACAACAACAACTTCCATTTATATAGCGCCCTTCACGCGAGCCAGCTTCTTGGAGTGCTGACGATGAGCCAGAGGGAGGGTGGAAGTGACTGTAAGCATGGTCGAAGATCTAAAAGACGTGAAGGAAGGGGCAAGGCAGAAAGATTAGGGGAGAAAGTTCCGAAGCTTTGGGGTATTGTGTCTGAAAGCATGGCTGCTGCTGGTGGAGTGAAGTGGACGAGGGACAAGCAGGAGGCCAGAGCCAGCCGAGCCATAAAAAAATAAGGCATTTTATACATTTAAAAAAGTGCATACATTTTCATACTAATTATAAATGTGTACTGAACTCTACAATTTCAAGTCATTTCCACATTTTTCCTCTCGAACACTCCCTACTTAATTCCCTTTTCATTTTTCACTTTGCATAATTCTACTTCTTTTATTTCAGTTATTTTCCCGTACAGAATAGCTATTGCTGAAGGAGCTTCTTCTGTATGCTATTCAGTTAGAGAAAGCAAGAACTGGTATAAATGCCCAAAACATGCCACAAATCCACTGTGGGTGAAAGAAAGACACCAGCATCTAAAATAGAAATACAAATGAACATATTGGGCACAATCCTTCATTTAAGCTGAAATCGTGGGGTTGGGAACTGTATGGATGAAGTCAAGAGGATGGGAAGTATTCTTTTTGTCCTTCTAGAGAAATAAAATAATAATAATAATCCTTGTATTTGATATAGCGCTTTTCACGTCGGGAGGACGTCCCAAAGCGCTTCACAGAACACACTGTAAAGTGAATTGACTGTATATTTGTGGGCGAACGCGGCAGCCAATTGCGCACAGCAATGTCCCACAAACAATCGTAGATTGAAAATGACCAATTTATTATTGTTTTTGGTTTTGGAGGGATTATTATTAGATGTGTGGAGTAAGGAAATGTGCCCAAGGTTTCGCCCTGACCTGCCTGGAATTGAACTCAGGTCTCTCGCTTGCAAAGCGAGTGCTTTAACAACTGAGCTACAGGACTCCACTGGTTAATGGTTAAATCAGGAGGCATTTTGATGGACCATCAACTTGTTATTATTGGTATTAGGTGGAAATTGACGGGGGAGAAAACACGAGAACCCCCAAACTTCTCATAGTTTTAGCCTTTTGACCATAGTCTTCAAATGTAAATTGTGCAGAATTTTGGAAAATTCTTAATTTCAGTCTTAATTTGAAAGGAAGGTTCCCACAGTTCATAAAAGGGCTGCAGAAAACCGAAATTATACACAACCTTAGCAATAAGAGCATGATGAATTTCACACAGTTCCACATAATACTTAGTATTATTAATGTTACTGAAGAGTCATGTGAGCACCTTTTTATAAAATTAGAAGGTTTAACCCCAGTTCCAATGTACTGCCAAAGATGACCATGACTCACTTCTGGAATAGAAACCAAACTGACTTGCACCACTAGCACAGCAGTGATAGGAATATCTTTCCTGCTGAAAGTACTTCCTGGTCTCCAGCAAAACGGTCTGCAGAGCAACTTGATTCCAGCTTGGCGACAACAAACCTGATTTATTCTATGATGATTTGCTGCCATTTTCACATCAAACCATATTGAAAGCTTGTATAAATATGACATAAGAGGGGATTACAGCAGCAAGACTGCTGAGACTGCAGGGCTCTGGTGACTTGCATCTACCCCTATTTTCTTTCCATGACAATTTGCCCAACATGAACATCCACTTCTATCTGTAGTCTCCAACTTAAATGTCAGGCATCCACAAACACCTGGACAGATGACCTCAGTGAATTTCAGTTCAACTGGTCAGACTCAACTCACCGTCTCTTTCTTGAAGTCGCTTTCATTGAGATTTTCGCCCTGCTGTATTTCTGCTTCCACTGCACCCAGCATTTGCTGAAGAGCTGTATCAAACTGTTCTAACTCCTTTGGAGATACCTGAAGAAGAGAAAATTGCAAGTTTCATATTTATCTCCAAACACTATACTTGAGTTGTAATAAATCCTTGCAATTTGATTACATTATACAGACACTGCTAAAATGCAATAAACATACTAATTTATCTATTCCTTAAGCATACATCTTTTATTTCTGAAAGTGATCCTTGGAAGAGGCAGAATGGATTCAATTCAAAATTTGAAATCTCCTCTCCAGGATAGTCAAGGTTTATACTACATAATACAGAACCTTGGCATCTTGTTTGATCCTCAACTGTCCTTTCTATCCCATATCCATGCCATGACCCGTTCTGCCTTCCCTACCTCCGCAACATTGCCCGGCTCTGCCACTGTCCCTCAGTCCGCCAAAATCCGCATCATACCCAGGCTCAATTACGTTAACTTCCTGCTTGAGCTCAAAGCATTTCACAGGATTTATTGTGATGTGTAGTGACTGTATTTGGTAGGTTTAAGATATATATTAAGATTTTTGTACATACAAAGGAATTAAAGCAGGCCACAACTAATGATCTGTGATGGAACCTTGTATTAGTTACCACTGATAAAATAGTATTGAGATATAAGAATGCCTTTGTATATAATCAAGAAGAAATTATATTTTAAGATAAGCAAACACCAACAGCACTACATAAACCCTGCTGGTAATTTTATGACATATGACATGTAATAGCCTAGGTAGGAGGAGAAAGGGAGTTAATTCAAACAATCATTGATAAACTGATGCAAATACAAATGCAGAGAGGTAAAAAAGACAGAAAACACATCATGCCCACAACAAAGTCAAAAGTTCATAGGCAAAGGTTAAATTTGGCACACACAGCACCTCAACAGGGATAGCACTAAGTGAATAAATCAAAATAACTGTGCAACTGTCTATATGCGGTCACCTCTTGGATTTGTGCTCGTTATAAATGTACCAAACACCTAAAGCTTGATGTTTGAAATGTATAATCTATTAATTTATATTGATTGCTAAAAATAAATCTATGGATATTTTTAGTGATCAGAGTAGGTTGCAGCACTGTGTGTTATAGCTGCTGTTGGTACTTTAATATGTGTTGGTTATTCTAAGCTTCACGTTCATAAGCAACTCTCAATTCCTGCATGAATATTTGAAGTCTAAATAATTCTCTAAAATTTGCAGCTGGTGACTGAACAATGAAATAATCTTAAGGGAGCTCACCTAAATTTTGCACGGTAACTCTACACTCTGGGAACGCATTTATATTTTGTTCTAGCACACAGATACATTTCAACAGATCCAATTGTCTAATCTGATGTAGTTTCAACATAGCAATATTATGAATCTTTCATTAGGACAGTCAATAACTATTTTAAAACATTGGCAACATTGGCCTTTCAATTTGTAGATGCTTCAGTCTGTGGGAACCTAAAAAATGTAAACCCACATGAATTATGAGCCAAAACTTAAACGTAAATTCCCCAAAACAAACAGCCATGAAACAATGTTTGTTTCTTGCGTTTTGGTGGAAATAATTTTTTTCCTGCAATTCAGTCCAGTTTGTCAACAAGCCTGTTAAGGTGGAAATTAAAAATCCCATGCCAGGACTCGAAAAGAGAAGGGAGTTTCTCCCAAAGCCCTGGGCTTTGAGACATCTCCATGATGTCATAAGGTACTCTATCAGATGCAAGGATTACTATTATTCTTAAGGAAAAATAAGGAATGTATTCAATCAGAGGGGGTTGTTAGGGTTTGGAATTTATTAAAAATTAATGGTGGCAACTGGATCGATAGAATTATTCAAAAGGAAACCAAACACTTTGGCATTGGAAAAATTAAGACTTTCAAGACATTTGCAGCAGTGGCTCTTTTTTCTTTAAAACCTGACGTTGAATGGTTTCAATAATGACCAGGACAGTTTCTTTTTTTATATATATATATGGTGGAACGCTGCCCAAGATAGTTTCTCTTTTTGAACAGTGTCATGGAATTTTTAAAGTCCATCTGAACAGGCAGATGAGTCCTCAGTTTGGTATCTTATGACAATGCAGCACTTCCTTAGAACTGCAACAGGATGGCAAACCAGACTATGTCTTCAAAGACCCAACGCAGGGCTTGAACTCACAACCAACTGAGCTAGGCTGGCACCTAATAATGGTCAATCAAAACAACTGCACTAACATTATTCCATTTTCTAAACGCCAGCACTATCCCTCAGAAAGCACATCAATGGCAGTAAAACTGGTAAAATGGTGTCTTCTTGCCTTGGGTGAGACAGCAAAAGGAGAGGGGTGAAGAGAGGACCCAAAGGTGAAAGTTGAGTCAATGATTGATAAACTAGTCAGTCCATAGGTTTCCTTCGTCAATCCCTGATCAGATGCTTGTTGACATTGTAAACGTTTTAGCTTCACCAAAAGAAACAACCAACAATGAAGAAGAATGAGAAAAGCGAAAAGAATAGACTTCTTTGTTAAGTCGTGAAGCCTGTTAGGCATTTAAGAAGTGGTAGAAAACTCACAATCAATCAGTTCCAGGCTTCCTTATTTTAAAGTTCACATTTGATAATTAAATGAGTCAAATTTATCCAAACTATCCAAAGATTAACTACTTGCATCAAATTTCATCTCCATCACAATGGAACAAGAACTTGTGTAACGTTTTATTCTAGACTTCCATGGCAGTTGATCACATCCTGTTTATCAACTGTCAAATTAAAAAATATATATTGAAAAAATTAAATAATATTTACCAACCTTAGCTCTACGAGTTAAGAGTTGGAACGTGAAATCATAAATCACACAACAATGTTGGCATATTTACTGAGAGCACTTCCCTTTTGATCTTATTACTGGAGATCACTTTTTCTGAAGAATCAATTTAAATGGAACTGTTAGAAGTTGACGTAGTGTAGAGAAATTTCTTGGAAATAGGCACTTTCCCATTAATATATGACCACATTTTCAGATTTTTCAGATTTGTTCTAATCTGCAGAGTTAATGGGATCTCTTCAACAAGGAAATCAAGTCACACAAACGTGGAAATACAACAACAATTTGCATAGCACCCTTCACGAAGGGAGTACTCTGTTCATTCCAATCTATTTCTGGAGAGAAATAACTACAGTAGGGATCAAAATCCTAATCCTTTCATATTTGAGCAGCCAGGTTTTCCTGTGTTCGGATATTTCAAAGAGGTTTAAAGGACACCAGCACAAATCCTGAAAAAAAAACTTCCATTTTTAAACCATGCTTTATTCACCACCTAATAATTCAATGATCTTCTTTGATATTGAAAAGAACCATCTGACTGGAGCTAGGATTTGGCTCTGGGGTGCTTGATTTATGTATTCAAGCAGCACAACAGCTGAGATCAGCATGTTAAGCAGATGTGTCAGGAGGCACAGTGCAGCTCACACCTTTCCAACAATAGACACAGATGCTCTTCTTTCTTTCTGAAGTAATGCTAACAGAATCCAGCAGTATGGAAACTGCCTGTTATGGATCTGGTAAGTAGCTCCATTTCACAACCATGTCAGTCCTGCAATGAATTTACTCAGCACATGTTAAACTAACTGCCCACTTTATCACCTGCCTTTGTGACCCTGTACCAACTACTACCACACCCCTGAACCATCTTCAACCAACTATTTGCCAGCCATTCCCCTTACCTGCTGTTGCACTTTTTTCTGCACTGCCAAAAAACTCTTCTGGGGTTTCAGTTCACTGGACTCCATTACAATAATTCCTGGTGAAGCAGATAAATGTTCCAGAACCAATTGCTGAAAGGCAAACACATTGAAATAAAGAACAATTAAAAACCCAAATCAGGAAGAATTAAAATTTCAGGAATCTACATGTAATTCACATTACAAATGTGACATTTCAAAATGTCATTGTTTTGTTTTCAATTCAACCTTAGTTATTTAAAGAGAATTTACACTTTATCTAAATCTTTGCACTGAACCGAGAGGCATTTTTACTGCAATTTCTATAATATAATCCTTGCATTTGATATCGTGCTTTTTACATCTTCTAGATGTCTCAAAGCACTTCACAGAAGATGCTGTAAAGTGAATTAACTGTATATTTGTGGGCAAAACACGGCAGCCAATTGCGCACAGCAGTGTCCCACGAACAGTCGTGGATAGAAAATGACCAATTTATTATTCTTTTGTTTTGGAGGGATTATTATTAGGCATGTGGAGTAAGGAAACTTGCCCAAGGTTTCGCCCTGCCTGGAATTGAACTCAGGTGTCTCGCTTGCAAGGCGAGTGCTCTACCACTGAGCTACAGGACGCCACGATTTCTCTCAGACTTCAATTTGGAAAAGTCTCACAGAATAACAGGGGTGAATCTGGACATAATAACAGGAAAAGCACAGCCATGAGGTATGACATTACAATGCAGCTTTGAAAGAAGTGCATCATTTATCAAAGTTTGGACGTAAAGATCATGAAGAATTAATGGACTAAATCATAAATTAAATTCTTATTTAACACTATTACTCTATGTTCTTCTCCCCATTTCATTTCACATACATCTTACACATTGCTCCCAATTATTTGCCAGCACAGTTCAGTAACTAGTCTGAAGAAGAGCAATTTAAGGGAGAGGGTCGCTACTATGCATCTTCTTTGTGAGGGCCCTACAGGATATACCTGACCTCTCTCAATTATTCATGATCTTTACGTCCAAACTTTGATAAGAGATGCCCAAACAAAAGAACCTGCATCTTAAAACTCAGATATAGGAGTGCAGTTATTCTGGGGTTATGAACAATGGGATATTTGTTAATCAAAGCAATTGGGTACCTGTGGGATTGCACAAGAACCATTCAGTGCACAGGTATCAAGCATCCATATACTGTGAAATCGGCTATCACATCTTGTTACAATGTGTGGAGGATTTTACGAATCCCAACAAACCACTACAACAGAAAGTTGCCTGAAGAGGGGAATGTTAAAGGGTACAGGAAGTGAGAAAAGGGGGATTGATCTAGGTGTCTGGTTTGTAGAAAAACACCAGTGCAAATTGATGGGCCAAATGGCCTGTTTCTGTGCTGTAACATTCAATGATTCTACAAGTGGAGGAGCCTATTTTTCGAGAGGGCTGTAAGTAAAATCTTCAATAGATGAGCTCTTCAAACTCAAATGTAAAATTTAGATTCCAAAAGACAAGCCCCAGTTTCCTTAAAATGAATACCTTGCCAGTCTTTATTCTGTGCGAGATGTCATCAAACCTCTGATTAAGCTCTGACAGCTTGGGTTCCACGACCTCCCTACAGTGATCTCCACGGTTTGTCATCAGCTCCACAGCCTGGTCACGCACCGCATCCACCTTCAATCTCATATCATTGAGTTCAGCCTTCAGACGCTACAGTCAATGAGCAAGACACATAGAGCTTGAAATTAGAGATAAACTCACAGAACAGTTAAAAAAACACTTTCAGGGCACAGAAAGGAGGAAGCAATGCAATGCATAAGAGAGGGTAAGAAGTGTGAAAAACAAGAGCAAGTGAGTATTTAGAATTTATATTTAGAAAGTTGCCCTATTTTGGCAAATGTGATATTATTTGATTGATTCATCACTTGTACATCACTTGACTATTCACAATACAGTATTCACAATGGCAAACTGACATGTGTTTATATAATGTAATGAAGCAATCTAGATGTGAGGTAAAACAAAAACAGACGTCACTGGAAACACTCAGCAAGTTAGGCAGCATCTATGGAGAAAGGAAAGTGAGTCAATGTTTCAGGTCCACGACCCTTCGTCAGAACAGGGGCATGTTGGGAGGGAGTGGCTTTTAATGACCAACAGAGTGGAGGAAGGCAGGGCAATGAAGACAAAGGAGAAAATGGGGTAAAGGACAGGGGATGATGGGTTAAAGAGATGTTAATGATGCAAAACCAAGGGCGGGATTGCAACAAAATAGGAGAAAAGGGTGATAATAATGCAAAACAAAGGGGCGGTGGTGGGGGGGGGGGGGGGTGGAATTGCAACAAAACAGGCAGACCTGAAAGAGAAAAGGTGTGTCTAGGACCCAGATGATGTGGTAATGGTCACAGAAAGCAGGGTGGGAGAAGGTGAGCTGTCACGGTCAAAATCAATATTGAGGCCGAAAGACTGTAAGGTCTCTAGCAGCTAGATGAGGTGTTGTTCCTCGAGCTTGGACTGTGGTTCACTGGAACAGCATAGAAGACCATAGATCACTATGTTTACGTCCAAGGTCAGAGTGCGTGTGGGAGGGAGAGCTGAAGTAGCAGAAACCGGAAGATCAGAGTTGTGATTGCAGACAGAATGGAGGTATTCGTCAAATCGGTCACCCAATCTGCATTTGGTCTCCCCAATGTAGAGGAGACCACATTGTGAGCAGCAAATGTAATAAACTACATTGGTGGTAGTACATGTAAATCGCTGTCTCACTTGAAAACTGTGTTTGGGGCCCTGGACAGTGGTATGGGAGGAGGTAAAAGGGCAGGTATTGCATTTCCTGGGCAGTCATGAGAAGGTGCCGGGGGGACGAGATCAACTGTTAGTGGTGATGGAGGAATGAACCAGGGAGTCATGGAGGGAACTGTCTCTTTGGAATGCTGAGAGGAGAGGGGAAGATATGTTTAGTGGTTGGATCACGCTGGAGGTGCCGGAAATGACGGAGAATTATTTGATGGATGTTGAGGCTGGTGCGGTGGAAGGTGAGGACTAGAGGGACCCTATCACGCTACCGGGAAGAGGGGGAAGGGGTGGGGGCAGAGGTACGGGAAATAGGGCAGACGCGCTCAAGGGCCCTGCCACAGTGGATGAGAATCCTCAGTCAAGGAAAAAGGAAAACATTTCAGCTGCTCTGGTGTGAAAGGTGGCATCATCAGAGCAGACACGGCAGAGGAACTGGGAAAGGGGAATTGAATCTTTACAGGAGGTGGGGTGGGAGGAGGTGTAGTCCGGGTAACTGTGGGAGTTGGTGGGCTTGTGAAAGATATCTGTAGATAAACTATGCTCCGAGATGGAAATCGTGAAGTCGGGGAAGGGAAGAGTCGGAGATGGACCATGCAAATGTTATGGAGGGGTGGAAGGTGGAAGCGAAATTGGTGAATTTTTCCATCTCATTGCGAGCGCAGGAAGCAGCCCCAACACAGTCGTCAATGTATCTGAGGAACAGGTCAGGAAGCAGACCTGAGTAGGCCCAGAACAAAGAGTGTTCCAAGTGACCAACAAACATGCAGGCTTAGCTGGGACCTATGCGGGAAACAACAGCGACACCTTTTACTTGGAGGAAGTTGAAGTTGTTCAATGTCAGAACAAGTTCAACAAGGCAGAGGAGACCGGTCATGGATGTAGGTTGGTAGGGCCTGGACAACAGGAGGAAAAATGCAGTCCAGATATGAGGAGATCAGCTTGGTGGGGCCGGAATAGGCTAAAAGCATAGGTCTCCAGAGACAGTCCTATTTGTGGACCTAGGGGAGGAGGTAGAAGTGGGCTGTGCATGGTTGGGGGTCTATGAGGTTGGAGGCTGTGGGAGGAAGATCCCCAGAGTTTTAAGGTGAGCAGGGTAAAAGGAAGAACGAAAGTCACATCGAAGAGAAGAGCAAAACTTCTTCAAGGTAGGCATTCCTAGAAAAGAAGTGGCAGTGAATTAAATATAAACAAAATGCAAAATACTTCAGATGCTGGAAATCTGAAACAAAAACAGAAGTCGCTGGGAACACTCAGCAGGTCAGGCAGCATCTATGGAGAAAGGAAAGTGAGTAAAAATTTGAGTTAAGTCAATCCATTAGTTACTGCAATGAAATCAGTGAAATTAATTTGCTTTGCAGCAGTCTCTCTCACCATATTGGTAGTTTTGCTGTCATTGTACTCCCTCAATTCCCCTCATTTTCTCAGCTCAGTGTGTCTTTATTCCAGACTTTTTCATATTCTATTTTACACAAATGACTCCATTATAGAGTTCATAGATTCATAGAATGTTACGGCACAGAAGGAGGCCATTCAGCCCATCGAGTCTGTGCCGGCTCTTTGACAGAGCAAGTCACTTTCACTAACCCCCATCACCAGCTTTCTCCCCATAACCCTCAAACCCGCCTTCCCCAGATACCTATCCAGTTCTCTCTTAAAAGCTGTTATCGAATCAGACTTCACTACGCTTTCAGGCAGATCATTCCAAATTCAAACAACTCGCTGAGTGAAAAAAATTCTTCTAACCTCCCCTCTGCTTCTTTTGGTAGATATCTTTAAGACTGTGACCACGGGTCACAGACACACCTACCAGCGGAAACAGCTTTTCCTTATCTAGCCTGTCGAAACCTTTCATGATCTTGAAGACCTCTATCAGGTCCCCGCGTAACCTTCTCTGCTCTAATGGGAAAAGTCCTAACTTCTCCAGCCTGTCCTCATAGCTAAGGTTCCCCATTCCTGGTATCATTCTCGTGAATCTCCTCTGCACCCTTTCCAGTGCCTTAATGTCCTTCCTGAAGTAAGGTGCCCAGAACTGGACGCAGTACTCCAGCTGAGGCCTAACCAGTGTTTTGTATAGATTAACCATAACCTCCCTACTCTTATACTCTATGCCCCTACTAATAAAGCTCAGTACACCAAATGCCTTTTTTTACTGCCTTATCTACCTGCCCCACTACCTTTAATGATTCGCTCACTTGAACACCCAGATCTCTCTGTACGTTCACCCCCCTTAAGCTTGAGCTACCAAGTCTATATTGCCTCCTATCATTTTTACTACCTAAGTATCACCTCACACTTATCCACATTGAAATCTATCTGCCACATGTCAGCCCATTCCACCATTCTGTGTATGTCTGCTTGCAGTTGGTTACAGTCCTCCTCACTATTTAATACCCTACCAAACTTTGTATCATCTGCAAACTTGGAAATAGTGCTTTCTACGCCCAAGTCCAGATCATTAATACATATTTATTTATTTATATAATAATAATAATCCTTGCATTTGATATAGCGCTTTTCACGTCGGGAGGACGTCCCAAAGCGCTTCACAGAACACACTGTAAAGTGAATTGACTGTATATTTTTATATAATATATAAATATATATTATATATGATGAAATATAAATTGAATTACTTTTATTTTTCATTGCAGGAAAACATTAATTAGAACGTTTCTTTACAAGAACAATTAGACATTTTGGGGGCTACAACAGACTTTCAAAAAATTCAGAGAACATCATGGATCCTAACAAGTTACAATATACAGGGGAGATGAGTGTAATGGGCAAATGATACACAGTTGGAAATACAGGATTAAATCATCAATGGAAATACATAGGTAGAACTAAGTATTCAATTGTTTTACTTCTGAAGTTCAGGAATACAGTGAGTTTTGCATAAAATACGTTTCAAAATGCAACTGGTTATAGGTGAGATTTTAGCAGAATGAAGTCTCCGCTACATTTCAAAAAATGCTTCTGAAGACAATTGAGGTCATTTAATAAAATGTTCTCACTGCTCAATATTCCAGTAACATATCATATTTATTTTTAATTTAGACCTTAATCTCCATTACCTTCAAAACTTCCTCTTTCTGTGGCACTTTCTGTTTTTCAGATTCATCCAATAAAATCTCAGCACGATACATCCATGCAGTAATCTGAGCCACATTCTGATCAAAATTTTCCATCTGTTTCTGATATTCCTGTGTCAAAAGAGCATTGGACAATAAAAATAAACATTTATTCAATGGCCACCTTTTAAAAAAAACATAATTGTAATTATTTTTGCTCTTGGGACCAATATGATGGGCCTACCCATCAACCATCTATCGAATGACAGAAACCTACCCAGGTTTCTGTCATTCAATAGATGGTTCACTTGGAATGGGTTGAAAGTGATGAGTCGTGTTCTCATCCTACTTATAGCGGAGTTCTCTGCTTCTCAAACCAGCTCAGTGGAATTGGCAGCACTCTCATCTCAAGCATAAAATTGTCAGTTCAAGCCTTATGTTGAAACATGAGCTCTTAAGAGTTCAGGCTAACAGTCCAGTTCAGTTCTAGGACAACAGTACTGTATTTGTCAGCGACGTTGTCTTTTCGATGCTCCAAGTCAGTGTTGAGAAAAAATAGAAATGAGTTTCTCGTAAAATTCTGGTCAACGATTCTCCAGAATAATTGAACAGAATGCTGACATAGTAAGATGCTACAAATCTACCAGAAAATGTTGTTTTAACAACTTCTTAACAAAGCTACATTATAAACATGATTTTATTTTGAAATTATTCTGTTTCGAAGAGGAACAATATAAAAGTGCATGAGGAAAGAATAGGGAATTGGAATTGAAGTATTGGCTCCAGCTGAGCGAACTCCATCATCCAACATATGATGGGTCAAACTGCTTCCATAACTTGTCTATAACATAATTTTGTTGTTCCAAGACAAGCCTGAGACCTGATCCTTACATTTAGCATGTAGGGATTCACCAGCTATAACCTGCATTCTGCCATTTGATGGAATACAACACTTTTGCTTTCGTGGGCTGGCCCATCATCTTACAATTGATGTCTTAAATGAGTCCTCCATTAACATTCCACACACTGTGCTGTCAAAACATTATCCTAGGACTGCTCAGAAACTGTTACAACATTCAAGATCAATTAGTGCAAAGCATTTGGAGTTGAAGAGACTCGAGACAAATTATTAAAAATCTCATCATTCTTAATCTTAAGTGAGTAAAATAATTAGTTGGGTTACATATTTTACAAAGCTTGACTATTAATGAGATAGAATGATAATTCCTCCAAAGGGATTGTATCATGAGATTATTACACTGAATATCAATGGCTCTATTACATAGTGCGGTTGAATTCAGTGGGCTGCCACATTGCAGAATGCAGTGGATAGAACACCATATTCAGCTCAACTTTACTTTTTTTGATAGTTTTGATGCATTTACGAGGAAGCTGGATATACATGAGGGAGAAGCATGATGTGGAGGTAGATGTGTAGTATAAACACCAGCACTTGTTGGGCCAAATGGCATATTTCCGTGATTTACATTCTATGTAAATGTATGACTTAAAGAAGTGAGGAGTCTTTCTGCTGGTTAACTTGGTTTATATTTCTCTCTTTATCCAAACATACTCCCTAATTCAAGGTAATTGTTTGCTCATTACATTGTTGTTGATGGAACAGTGCTGAAGCAGATTAGCTACCGCATATGACTGTTTAATGATAGTCGCTTCCTATCTGATCAATTGCATTTCATAAAACACTTCAAACTGTTTATATTTGAGTATTTGTTCCAAATTCCCTCACCCATTTTGGAACAATTGATTCATTCTTCATCTATTATTTTTTCTTCAATATCTCCTAATCAAATAATGTGTACGGCATCAATGGGAACTGGATTGTTTTGAAGATTTGTTTAAAAGTAACATTTGCTGAGGCACCAGTTTCTTTCCAAGCATGCTCACTTCTGAAGGACTGACTAAAAGGAGAGCTTGGCATGTTCTGTGGTGAATTACTGTAACAAGGCATAATAATACGGAAATCAGTCATGTCAATAGTACAGATGATTAACCTCCGGCTAAAACTGATATTTACCATCAGAGATGTTAAATCCAGCACCATGGCTAACACTGAGCTAGATCCCCTTTGGAAAAAACAGGGGAATCAAACAATTGACCTGAAGGATATCCAGCCAGGCTGTAAGTGAACTATGAAAGATGGAACTGAATAAATAATTCTGAGTGCTGGTTCCAAGCTTGACACTTTCTCTAACATCAAATATAAATTAAAATCATTTTCATATATGTCATGAACATGTTGACCATGTATTTGAAATCGTACACTGTAATAAAGAGCACACTGCGACTGATCGGCATATATTTTAGCTTCCTGTCAGTGTGCAATATATCAATTAAGTATTTCTCTACATGTACATGCAGCTGAGCATCTCCTCATCAGATGTTGTTTTCTGTGACTTCTGACCAATCAGGCAGAATAATCAGTCTCTTCTTCATGATTCTGACAGAAAGCAGTACCAGAGAGATATTTACAATACAATATTACATTTGTAAAGCGTCTTTAATGTCTGGAGGACATCCCAAGCCTCTGGACAGTCAGAGATTTGGACCTGAGCAGGGCAGTTGGGATCAGGGAGTGTGGGAGGGTAGGAGGGTGGCCGAAGGCACGGTCGAATAGGAGGATCTTGAAATGAGCCTTGAAGTAGGCAAGAGAGGGGGCTCGAAGTCTACGCATGATTTTCTGGTAATGTCACCTGACCATATTGGACAGATTATATATTTATTGTGCGGTTTGGGCCAACAGGTTAAGCAACATAAACAACTCCATATTTAACTCAAACTCAGAACAGTATTTTCAGCTATGTTACTACACCCGTGTTGTTTTTCCATTCCTTCTACCACTTACATATAACCTATCATAGTTATAATAGCAATAGCTATTCCATAGAAATATTTTCTATTGTGGATTTATAACCAGTGCCCAGTGAGACTACCAAACCCTTTTCACTCAGGATGCTTAGGCACATTTTCATCACTTAGCCTGCACTCAGTTCTGAAGTTAAAGGGTAAAGCTGGCAGTATTTCATAATGTGTTCCTCATGATGATTGACACAAGTGAATTGTTGTAAATTTTCCCACAATATTTCAGAGGGAGAGAGAACAGTTTTCTAAAGCTCATCATTACTATGTCCACACAGAGTCCTATTTTATTGAGTATTGCATTGATTTGGAAAGGGTGAAAATCTTTCACTTGTCCGCATTCTTCTTGATCTCTCCAGGACATGCAACAACACTGGCAACAACAACAAATTACATTTATAGAGTGCCCTTCACATCAGGAGGACGTCCCAAGGTGCTGGGACATGCTACTTTATCTCTATTAGTGATACTCTAGTGTGAACAGGAACATATGTAAGGAGTAACTCATCCTTTGAATTCCGTTCCCTTTGTGCAGAGGCACCCAGTCTCCCTTCAGAACTTCCCCATAACTTGAGGTTTGAATTAGGAACTAAACAAAGTAAGAAGTTACATGTTCTCAACAGTATGTGCATGCAATGCAATGGAAGTATGACATTCCACACTTACTAATTTGACAGCATGTAATAAGATACTCAAACTAGCACTGTTAATAATTGTGCTTACCAGTAGAAGATTGAGCCACTCTTCAGCCCGTGATGTGACTGCGATCCAATTACAGTTCAAAAGACTGAGTTTATCATCCACAGCACTGTTACTCTTCTTCATCAAGATCCTCAGAGAGTCTCCTGTCTCGGTAATACTGTTTAATAGCAGCCGCCGCTTCTCTATATCTTTCTGGATAGCCTTTAATAAAGAACATCACATGTTACCTTTGAATGCAGAAAAAGTCTCTTATGTTGAATTATGTTGTAAGGATGATTAGAATTATTATCATAGACTTGCTTTATTTTGACCAACTTGGCTCAGTTGGTAGCATTCTCTTCCTTGGGTCAGAAGTTGTGAAATCAAGCATTACGTTGAGTTCTGACATGGACCCGAAACATTGACTCACTTTCCTTTCTCCATAGATGCTACCTGACTTGGTGAGTTTTCCCAGCTCTCTGTTTTTGTTACATTGGAACTCTGAGCTGGGAGTTTGACATTCCAGTACAGTTCTAGGAGAGCAATGCATTATAATAATAATAATCCTTGCATTTGATATAGCGCTTTTCACGTCGGGAGGACGTCTCAAAGCACTTCACAGAATATACTGTAAAGTGAATTGACTGTATATTTGTGGGCGAACGCGGCAGCCAATTGCGCACAGCAATGTCCCACAAACAGTCGTAGATTGAAAATGGCCAATTTATTATTGTTTTTGGTTTTGGAGGGATTATTATTGGGCATGTGGAGTAAGGAAACTTGCCCAAGGTTTCGCCCTGCCTGGAATTGAACTCAGGTCTCTCGCTTGCAAAGCGAGTGCTCTAACCACTGAGCTACAGGACTCCACACCTAGTGGAGGTGTGGCCCTTTGGATAAGATATGAAACAAAGATCCTGGTTGTCTGTAAGGTGAATGCTAAAGAAACCACAACACTATTTGTGAGGAGAATGCCATTTCTCCCAGTGTTCTATCAATCCTCCAAATAAATTGGAGGAAAGAGGGCCAATAACTCAGTTGTGTGATGTTTTGGCATAACTCGTGACCTCAGATGTGCACTCTAAAAGCTGAAGTATCGTTCGGAACTAAGTAAAGATGTAAAGAAGTTCACATCCGTTTAACGTTTTCCTTCAAATAACGGCTTCAATTTCTTACATTTAGCCTAACTAATCTTTTCAGTTGCTCATGAACCACTCCCCATTTTACATGATTTTTCTGTTATCTTAACAAAGTGCATTGGGATAGATCCCACCCAATGTCTGACAAATTATTGTATAACTGTTCGCTGTGTTGACAAATAAATAATGCATCAGTTACAGTGTAAAGACAATATAAATAATACTAAAAAAAACTTTTATTTATATTGCTCCTTATCATGTCTTCTGGATGTCTCAATGTGCTTCACACAATATACTTTAAAGTGAACTGACTGTATATTTTGTGGACGAAACGCGCAGCCAATCATGGCAGCCAATCAAGCCACAGCAGTGTCCCACAAACCGTCGTGGATTGAGTGACCAAATTATTATTTTTTTCTTTTAATTATTTTTTTGAAGGGATTATTACGTAACTGCTAGGTGAATAGAGGAGTGTGGAGTAAGAAAACTTGCCTAATGTTTCGCCCTGCCCAGGAATCGAACCCGGGTCCTCTTGCTTGTGACGCGAGTGCTCTAGCCAATGTGATACAGAACTCCATATAGACACAGAAAACCTCAACTGAAATCACTAAACCCTTAAAAAATCAATTGCAAGTTTTTGAGAAAGCTTAAAAATGTTATTTTCTCCATTGCCCCCACTAATAATAAAAATTCTTGCAATTGATATTATCATGTTGTTGAGACATTTCAAAGTGCCTCGCAGGATATACTGTAAAGTAAATTGACTGTATTTTGGGGGCAAAATGCAGCAGCCATTACTGCATTGCTGTAAATAGAAATTTACTGTACAAGAAGGCCATTTGACATTTTTCTAACCTGTTGTATGATATTATCTTATAATTGGTAAATGACTCAAGAACTTTTTACTATTTCGATCAAATATCTGATTTTACAACACTTCAACTCTATATTTGCATATTACCTTAAATGGCAGCAATGCACATACTATTGAAAGGTGCGCAATAATCCTACAGTAATTTTAAAACTTGGGTGAGACGTTAAATGGGGTTACAATTTCAAAGCTGAATATCTTGTAACATAATCAACACAAAAAGTGAAGTGGAGCTTACAGACTTCAATTGGTATCAGAGAACACTGACAAAACGTAGCAGAGATCTATACAGAATGAATGGCAAAGCACAATTAAAGTATACAAATAACAGTAAGCAAAGATGCAACTCATTCTTGACAAACACTTAAAAGGACCCGGGAAGACAACATTTGCTTATCAGATCATTGGCTTAATCACTGCACTGTCGACATATTCAATAGGTCGAGTGATGGATCTGCATATTCAAGTTGAGCAGTTAAATAAATCCACGTACTGCACTTCACAGATTGAGGGGAAACCATTTAAAAGCAGCATGATTTTATCAGTCAACATCATTTATTAGGGAAAAAATCCTGTAAAAGAGCACAAATACTGTATCCCTTGATATTTACCATTAACATCAATAAAAACTCAATATCGAGCTGCATTCCATCACTACATCCCCTCTGAATTGAAAGTTTGTGACAGGAAAGTTTATTCACCTTGTGTATTATCTATCGTAATACTGCTTGCGGTATTTCTGATGTTTAATCTTTAATGTCCAACCAGTAGGAAGATGCCTCAGTTCTAACAGATAACTCATTGCAGCATGAAAAAAAACCCAGACAAAGCACAATAAATAACTGAAGAAAAAAAACTTAAGTAGCACATGATGTTTATTCCAGTCTGTGTAAATTATGGTTATTTATTACTTATCTCACCTCATCATTTCCTAAAGACACTGACTCTTGTTAGAAGTTGCTTCTACCAATGGCAGCCAAAGGGCCATTCTTCATACGAGACCAGACAGTAAACATCAGTAAACTTCTTAGCTATGAATGTTATTATTATTATATTATTATCATAGCTGTGGTTGATCACCCACACTTCGTACTAGATAGTGATCAAGAATAACTGAACGGATTGACTTCAAGATCCACTTTTTGCCTCGACTGTTCAAATGCCCTCTTCACCTGTCTCCCCAGTTCCACTATCACAAAATTCAGTCAATCCAAAACTCTAACACCCACATAATCACCCTCACTAAACTCCGTATTCCCATCACACGAGTTCACATAACTGATGAATTTATTTGGACGGTTGCTGATCAAGATACTGGAAGAAACCATATATTCATTTTCAATAGTTTTAAAGAATCTTTAATATCCACCTGAACATACAGATAGTGGGTCACGGCACGGACGTAAAAAGGACATTTGAGGGTCAAACAAGACGTCAAGGTTCCAGACTGGCTAAGTGAGGTGTGGTTCATGGTGGTGATGTTTTTCAAGATATGCGAGAAAATAAAGAACCTTGACTGACAAGTCATGGATTGTAAAAACAATTGCACACTCTTTTTGCTAGTAAACTTTTTTAAACAAATCTACGGCTTGTTTGCAGAGCGTCTACGGCTTATTTCTTCTTCAAGATTGACAGGTACAAAATGTCAGCATGAACGCACTCTCCGAGAGGCAAAAGGATTGCCAGCTTAACCAACATTTAAAATAAAAATTCAAGTAAATAATAATAATCATTGAATTTGATATAATGCCTAATCACGTTGTTGAGATGCTCACAGCACTTTACAGAATATATCATAAATCGGATTGACTGTGTATTTTGTGGGCAAAACTCAGCAGCAAATTACACACAGCAGTGTTCCATGGATTGAGTGATTTTGGAGGGATTATTAGCCCTGGAAAGCAATTTGCCAATTGACTAACAATCAGGTTATTACTACTAGAAACATGCTATATCAAATGCAAAGATTATTGTTACTTATTGCTTGGAAAACAGGGGCATTAGGAGTAAGGAAACGTGCCTAAGGTTACACCCTGCCTGGGAATCGAACCCGGGTCCTCTCGCTTGGGAGGCAAACATACTAATCACTATGCCATAGGACTCCACAATCTACCTGAATCAAATGTGAACTCCATTTTATTACAACTCAAAAGCCATGGGATCCTCCCACCCTCTGAAATGATGTACCCTTTTAACATTAGGCTCCTACTAACAGAAAATTACCTTCAGTTTTCTTGAAATGTATTGAATAGGTTCACTTTATTTTCATTGGCGCTATTTACATGGAGGTTCTAAAAAACAACTGTTCTGCACTTGGGCTGTTCCTGGATAGTCAGCTAAACTACAGGTTGTTGAGATCTACTGGCAAAAGAGAGGTTACTCTTTTAGCTAGGGGATAGTGTCCAAACATTAGGTGATATAGCCTGACACCATGTAAAATGGGCCGAAAACAAAGTAGCAAATTGGTCCCAACAAAACAGATGGTCCCGTGACCATGGAGTTGACAGTAATCTAAGCAGAGTGTTATGATTGATTGCCAGGAATCTGACTAGAGGCAATGCTGCTTCTCTTTCATTATATGTCTTATTCATTGATATTTCTCGATAGTTTCATAGAGATATTTTAAAGACTGGGTACACACAGAATTACCTAGCAATGAGATTTGTACCATCAGGGTCTGGTTACATAATTGTGGCTTGTTGCAGGGGAGATATTGAGAGTCTGAAATTGTAATAATAATCCTTGCATCTGATATGGTATGTTTCACATCATGAGGATATCTCAAAAGGACAATTCACAGGATTCAGTGTAAAGTGCAGTGACTGTATTTTGTAGGTGAACGCTGCAGCCAATTTGTGTATAGGAATGTCACACAAAGAGCCATGAAACGAATGACCAATTTTATCTGGGGAATTGTTCACCACCATGAACAACATGTGAGAAACACACTTTTTTCAAATAGTGCCATGGTATCTTTAACATCTACCTGAACAGGCAGACGGGACCTCAGTTCAATGTTTCACCCGAAAGACAGCACATCTGACAAGGTAGAGTTTTCCCAGTACTGAATTGGAGGTGACTACTTTAAACTTCTTTTCAAAGTATTTCTCTGTTAATCCTGAATCCACTTTTGATTCAGAGGCAAGGATGCTGCCAATTGAGCTAGGATGTTTTGCTGCCACAGTGAGGATCACAACTTTTCTAAGACTATCAATAGAGAGAGAATGAGGATTTCACCTGGTTCCAGAGTATATCAATAGGCAAAGAGTGCACCTGCTTCCACCCAGACTTTATAAATGCCAATGATCAGAGGATTCGCGAGAAAATAAGGATTGCATCTGTTCCCAGATGGTGCCAATGCCAAAAGTGAGAGTGGAGACTGCATCTGTTTCCAGACGCTTTAAATGTTAATTGTGAGCAGGTTCTCACTGTGAGTTTGAGCGGGTGGCTATTGCACCTGTTTCTATACTCCATTATCGTTAGAAAATTCATTCAACTGATTGCTCAGTTGTTAAAGCATTTCACAGCATGAAACTGAGCCACAAAGACCAGAGGGTCATGTTTATTCTATATACGGTAAGCTTGTCTCATTTGAGGCGTTGGGGGGGAGGGGAAGAGTACAATGCACCTCAGAAGGGGGAAAATTGCAGGAAAAATTAGAGGAAAAATTACAGAAAGTTCCCATTCGTGTTCAGACTCTGCTACATAGTCGATCTGGAATGACATTTACCACAGTTTGAACATTAAAGTTTGTATTTTTATTTTGAGATGCATGAAGTATTTTCAATTGGACTCAAAAACGATATAGTTCTATTACCCCGTCCTCTTGTCTTTTTGATCACGAGAGCACTACCTAGAGATGATGGACCGGTTGGAGACCCCTGATCTAAAGATCAGGTCTGAACAGTCTGCACTAAAACCATCACATACAGATAACAACATAACACAAAAAAAAGCACAACCTCCTCGTAGTGAGACGCGCATGAGTTAATCAATTCCTTCACACCTCAACATTTATCTCTCTGCCTCCATTCTCAACCACTGATATCCTGATAGATGCCTGTCAGACATCAAGTCCTGGATTAGAGCCAACTTTCTACAATTGAACTTCAGCAAGTTCGAGGCTCTACTGATCGGCTCATTCCAGCGCCTCTGTACCTCAGGTACTGGCAGCATCCAAGGATGCACACTCCACCTCACCAAGCCAGTCAAGAACCTAGGCATCTTGTTCAACCCACAACTTTCCTCGCCCACATCTGTGACATGACCCACTGTGCGTTCCTCCACCTCTGCAACATTGACCGACTGCCACTGCTTTACCACTCAGGCCGCCAAAGCTCTCATAAATGCCTTCATTACAACCAAGCTTGACTATGCCAACTGTGTCCTCTCCCAACACACCCTCCCTCGCCCAGCTTCACTGGCTCCCCATCCCTCAGATGATCAAGTTCAAAATTCTCATCTTCGAGGGTCTCCATGGCTTTGCCCCCTCCTACCTCTCCAACCTGCTGACCTGCAATAGTGGGGTATGCTGAAATATTGGAGGTATAGTCTTTCAGATGTGTTAAACTGAGGAACCGATGACTGTTTTCAGCTGGGCCTTCAAGATGCTATTATATTATTTGAAAAGAGAAGGTAGTTTCTCCAGGCAATTTTCCTGATTGATCAGTCTTACGCCCCGTGGTTGTTTGTAGAATTTTGCTGGCACTGATTGCCTCCCATTCACTGATTACACTCATCAAAAACTGTAAAACGTTTTGAAACATTTTAAAATGATGAAAGCGCTTTAAAAATCCTAGTTCCTTCTGCTTGAATATTCATGAGCACTATAGTATTCTCTAAACCATAAAGTTGTCATTTGCTTAAGAATGCTAAGATTGTTAATGGTAAATACCTCGTACAAGCACAAGTGTGAAATTAAAACACAGTGAATCACCAGTGCAACAAATCTGACCTCATCCTGCCTCGCCGTCAAAAAACTGCGGTTGTGAATTAGTGGCTAGTATTTTGCCCACTAAATATACAGTCAACTCACTTTACAGTATGTTCTGTGAAGTGCTTTGAGACGTCTCGAAGACGTGATAAGATGCTATATCAAATGCAAGGATGGTTATTATTAGTAGTATAAGTACTACATTATGCAACAAAAAAAATAAAGCATCTGTCTCTTCAAAATTTATGCACAGGGCTTTAATCTCTGCTACTAATATGATTGACTGGTCAATGTATTATTTATTTTTTAAAAAGCAAAGATACAATTTGCTTATATATATTTATATTTTAATATGAAACAAAGTGAGGCTTGTCTGCACTTCAAGAGTAGCGAGTATCTATGAATACAATAGAAGCCAAACTGTACATCCTTGTTATTGGTCACACATCATCAGCATAGTTTGGAGTGAGGATTATCTTGTGTGAATGCCTTACCTTTTAATCTGCATACATAAATGACCACAAGTTGTGGTTACAGTTCTTGTTTGTTGACTCTGTCACCTTAATTTCTACTGTTAAGAGTGACATGGAATTACTTTCTTTACAGTAGTAAAGGAATTCAGAGTAGAAAATTGGATTTTCCTTTCGAAACCCCTCATGGACTGAGAAAGGTTCTGTGCTTGCAGAACTCACTGCATGTAAAATACTGCACAGTCTGCTAAGTGGTGCTACACTTTTAAATAGCTGGTCAGACAACTGTTTAATACCACTTAAAATAGATCTATTTCTTGGGAAGCCCAATGGATTTCTATTGCCGTTCAAATTGATAAACACATCTATCTTTCAATTTGCACAATCAAACTAGCTTCATAGGCAAATTAATGAGCTATAAAACAAGGCAATTTCAAACAGGATTCTTTCATTGAGGTGTGCCACACCAACTCACAGCAACTCATGTGAGCAGCTTCTCAAGAAATGTACTTCCAGCGTGGAGATCCCACAAATTGGTATAACATGTTCTTGGACAGAATATTGGCATAACCGGTTCCTGGAAGGAGTCCCCACTTGGATGCCTTATTTAAAGAATCTCATTTGAAATCTTTAAATCTAGATACCAATATCTCATTTTTACAGGATTAACAAAAAGCTCAGCATAGCTCAGTAAATATTTAATGTGCAAGTTAGATTTTAGATGCCGTCTTTGACAAGAGCATCACTAATATTCTGGTTTACCTCAAGCCTGTCAGATTAGGTGATTCTTCTCGCCAAAGCAGTACTAAGGTAGATTGCTCACTTTAAGTTGTGTGCTGTTTTCTTTCTAAAGATAGTTACCTGAGTTCATTAAAGTTTGAACATTTAAACACTCAAGCTGGTCTTAAATATCTCTGTCAATCTTATTTGCCTGATCAGAGTACATATCTCAAAATGTTGATATGGTCCAAAGTTTAAGCAATGTATGAACCATGCTATGCTTCTGTTTTAAGTAACTAGGAAACAGGACCTACCCACTCTTAGCTCCTACTTACTGTTGTATTTTATTCCCATTAATACTTTGTGCTTTTATTTTATTTTTCTTGGACTCACATAAAGCCACCGATACTATCCAGCATAACTAATTATAATGTTTGTCTTTGACCTTTGCTGCTGTATGCATTTACCAGGAATGGAATTCCTAATAACAAAAGTCGTTCTTTCAATTTTTCAGAATATTAAGGATTTTTTTTAAAATCAGCAGGAAATATTGGTCCAAGAAATGCTAACCAGCTATTTCGGTTCCTAGCAGCAGAAAACATATTTTGTCATCTCCAGCAGCTTTCCCATTAATTCTGATCAGCAGCTTTCTTGTTCTTTGCTGATGGATTCTTCAAGTTCAGAATACATGTATTCCAATTGCAACCTCAGGTGGTAGGAGTGAAGTTTATACCTAGCCCATATCAAAATGATACCAACTACCGATGCAATAACAATATCTCCACATGTAACATATTACAAAGAATACACAGGACTTGAGAGATGCAACCAACAGAGTGTATTCTGTGTTCCCAATACTGGAACTTTTATACTGTATTTTACATGCAAACACTACCATAACTAGGCAGGAAGAAAATGGAGGGGTTGGGCTGGAGGAAGGAAAGGTTAAGGTGAGTGAAGAGGAAAGTAGAACAATAAGGCAAGAGGACACAAGGAAGGGAAGAGCAGAGCAATGGTGAGTGGAGAAAAAGAAAGAGGATAATGAGAAGAAATGTAGTGGAAAATGCATAGGATGAGGGAAACAGATAAGGAGGAAAGTAATGCTTTTTAGAATTAATCTGTCAGTAATTTACTTTTTCTGGAATGCCTATGTCTGTGGCATTTTTTTCATTAATTGATTAATTGATAATTTGATCCAATTGTCAAAGAATGGTTCTTGATGGGGACCACATCCTGCTTTGTCAAGGTGCTGCTTATTGGTCTGGTTGGTGAGAAATGTAATCTGGATGCATTTCAAGCAAGGATTTGAGCTGGTGCACAAGAGAGGTTCAGATGAAGAAAGCCATTCATTTTTATTATGGTTTCCCTTATTATTTGCTAATTTTGTTTAGCAGATATAAACTCTGCATTTGAACTCTGGGTGGAGTTCCAGGCAGTGGTACCGGGTGGATCACTGCATCATACATCTCAATCATGCTTCAGTTGATAAAAAGGAATCCTCCTTAATTAACATATGATTAACGCATGTTGAATTTCAACAAGTAAAATGCCCTTTTTGCTGCTCTGATCTGCAAGTTCAATAAGGACATTTCCTTGGTATTACTTCTCTTGAAATACCTGAGCTATTCTTACCTTACTCCAAGCAACTTCAGCATCCAAATTAGTTGGCATTCCTTCAACCGCTGATCGCTTTGTCAGCTCTGCATCTGTTGCTGCCAGCCACTCCGTCAAGGCATTGACTTCCTTCCTTAGCTTGCGGGACAATTTCAGACACTTTTCTAATTCTTGCTTCCCTTCAGTCACCTACAAAGCAGAGCACACAATTTCACATTCAGATTTCTTACTTGCTGCTATAAACTAATTGCAGGCAAACTTGCCTATCTATTGTTACCACTCATTTTTCCTATTAGTGACCTCAATGCACAGACAGGTCTTATACTTGATGTGATCCTGAGCCAGCGACTAAAGAAATCTGTCGTGATCTCTAGTATGTTTTAAGTCAACCTGCTAATGATGGTGTCACAATTGACCTCAGTATCCTGTTTTAGGCAAAGTTCCTGATCACTATCTAATGAATCCTTTTGGAGGGTGCATGTTAATTGAGGATAGCATTGGGTTTGACTGTGATATTTCCCAAGACACTTATTGCCTAACCCTAACCCTAAGATCACACATGAAGATTAGCCATTCAAGTCAGGTACCAGAAGGTAGCTATTGCCCATGCAAAAGATGAAGGGAGCGGGTTGGAAATACTTTTTTACATAACGTTTTCCAAGACAGGTCATTCACTCCAAATGACACAGAACACAGGAATTTGCCAGATGAAAGAAAACCAACGTCCATCTAGTTCATCTTCCACCATCCTGGCAGTCGCTTGACATGTTATGTCCCAAACAATATACTGCATCTCGAGATATTATTTTCTAGGAGAAATCTATCTAATTTGTTCTTGAAACAAATAACATTTTCTGCTTCCACTGTCTCCCTAGGGAGCTTGTTCGATAAGTTTACTACTTGCTCACTGAAGCAGTGTTTCCACAGATTTGTTCTGAATTTACCCTGGTTCAATCTCAGGCCAGTGTCCTCTGGTTCTACAGCATTGTTAATAATTTGCTTCTTCTAATTGATCACGTCCCATTACTCATTTCCCAGAGACATAAGTGCGCCACCACATATTCCCTAATTATTTTCCTGTTGCACATCAAATATGAATGAATTATATGAATGGCCTTATCTCATAGTTATTAAGTAACACAGACAAAACATTGTTCTTTCAAAGGGAAATCGTTTTAATTGTAAGCTTTGAGTAAATTATTACATTGTAGGGTTGAAATTTGCCCTGAGAAAAGCTATGAACAAACATGTCCTCATTTCTAGACCTTATGCCAGTTGCATTTTGTGTATTGCCATGAATGAATGAACAGTATAAGTGCAGATAGATAAACATTCCTTCAGGTTCAAATGTCAAACTGTATTGGGCTTTGCTTCTGTTGCATGGACTTGCTCTCACTTATTACAATGTAAGCACAGTGGCTAAAAGCAGGCAATTTGCTCTCTCCTGGTATCGTTTGGCTCAGGGTCAGCTCTAGTTACAAGAATAATGTGAACTGGGAACAATGGGGTGGCACAACGTATTGATGCACTAACAGGCTGTGCCATCAAGTGGTAGGGAATGGACTTGCACCTTTGTTTCTGATTCCTCATATTCATGATCTCGGCCATACTATCTGCTGGGGCAATGAATGCATCACAGGTGAAGGAGATAAATGAGGTACATAAATGCATAGAAATTTACAGAACCGAAGAAGTCATTCAGCCCATTATGTTTGAAAATTATTAAATTGTAGCGCTGTTATATGCCCTGAGAAATGCCATGGTCAAACTTTTCCTCAGTTCTAGACCTTGACCTTTTTGAAAAGTAATCCATTCAGTCACACTTATCCCCATACCCTTTTGCCCATACCCCTGCAAATTATTCATTTTTAGATATTTACTACATTCCCTCTTGAAAGCTAATGTAGATCCTGCCTTGATCGCTAACCTCCCATTCCTCTCCAAGGTCCTGGAACAAGTCGTCGCATCCCAGCTCTGCTCCTTTCTTTCTCGCCATTCACTAATGACATTCTGTGATCAGGACTCCCTCCGCCCCTTGTCCTCCTCGACCTCTCTGCCGCCTTCGACACTGTCAACCACTCCATCCTCATATATCGCCTCTCCCCTTTACTTAATCTTCACGGACCTGCCCTTGCCTGGTTTGATTCCTATCTCTCTCACCATCTCCATTTTGTTGCCTCTAACGGTTTCTCCTCCAGCCCCCGCACTGTCACTTCTGGCATCCCCCAGGGCTCTGTTCTTGGCCCTCTCCTCTTTAATATCTACATGCTCCCCCTTGGTGACATCATCCGCAGACATGGGGTCAACTTCCACGTGTATGCGGATGACACCCAACTCTATCTTTCTGCCTCCATCCTCAACTCCAGGACCACTGCTGTCCTGACAGACTGCCTGTCAGACATCAATTCCTGGATGAGGAGAAATTTCCTACAGTTGAATGTGAACAAGACTGAGGCCCTCCTGATTGGCTCACACCAGCGCCTCGGCACCTCAGGCTCTGGCAGCATCAACCTCCATGGTTGCACACTACAACTCACCAAGCCAGTCAGGAACCTAGGTGTCTTGTTCGACCCTCAACTGTCTTCTTCCCCACATCCAAGCCATGGCCTGCTCTGCCTTCCCTCACCTCCGTAACATCGCCCGACTCCGCCACTACTTCACCCCTCAGGCTGCTGAAACTCTTGTTCATGCCTTCATTACCTCCAGGCTCGACTATGTAAATGCCCTGCTTGCCGGCCTTCCCAAATCCTCCCTCCACAGGTTACTGATAATGCAGAACTCTGCAGCACGTGTCCTCTCCCGCACTAAACTCTGTGACCCCATCTCCCCCATTCTCGCCTGACTCCATTGGCTCCCTATCCTTCAGAGGATCCAATTCAAGATCCTGGTCCTCACCCACAAAGCCCTCCATGGCCTCACCTCACCCTATCTCTGCGACCTCCTAACCCCCTACCAACCCGCCCGTTCCCTCCGCTCAACCGGCTCTGGCCTGCTCCACTTCCCCCGACCCACTCGCTCCACCATTGGCGAGAGAGCCTTCAGCCACTCTGCTCCCAACTTCTGGAATTCCTTTGGTCGGCCCCTCCTTAGCCTCCTTCAAGTCCCGCCTCAAGACCCTCCTCTTCGACCATGCCGTCAGCCACCCCCCTTCCCCTCCCTTTTCCCCCCCTGACCCCAGCTCGGGTCTGAAATGCTGTACACTGCCCAGAGCCTTAGGACATCTTCCCGACGTGAAAGGCGCTATGCAAATGTAATCTTTTTGTTGTTGTTGTGATCACCAAACCTGGAAGAGAAATTGCTACCTTGCTGACTATCAATGCCCTTTAGTCACTGATGTACTGACCAAAGGAAATAATTTCTCCGAATCTATTTTATTAAAAGTCCTCATCATTTTAAAGACCTATCAGCCTGATAACTCTGATCTAGCAGCGACCAAACTGACTTAACAAATTGACTATCCACAAACTACACCTTTACTGAGAGGTAGCCAGAGCATACACAATGGATATTGTTGTTAGCTGTTCAAAATGTACACTTTATTTTAAAAACTCTTCTTTGCCCAACAGTGACTCGCCTTTTCCCAGTTACCAATAAAACAAAAAAATGCTGTTCCAGCAACATCCAACTAAACACAATTTTCACATAAAGCTTTACTTCACAATTTAATGTAAACATACAAAAAGTCAAGAGTTGTAAAATTAAGTGTTTCTTGTAAGTGCACACTGCCACCTGCAGCTTGTATTTAATCAGTAGGATCATCTAAAACACAAAGCGTATCACGCTTTGGAAAGCCATACACACACAATTTGCAAACCTAAATTATTTTCATCCAATGCAAAGCTCAATGTTCTCAACTTTTTGGATATATCCGAACTCCAAAATTCCGGTTTGTCCATTGCCTGTAAGTGCTTTTTGTCTTCAAATTTAAGATGACGCCGAAAATTCTTAAATTCAATCTTAATATGGAAGCTGATTTATGTACCTTAGAAAACTCAGGAAAATGCAACACTGAACCCTACTATTATACTCACTTAAATGGACCTCTGGGTTTTGGCTTCCAAATAATTAATAATAAATTCATTTAATACATAATTAATAATTATTTAAGTAATTAAGAATTATCAGATCTGATGAACACTGGACTATCACTTTCACACTTATTGATGTGACAGCCAACAAATATCAGAGATTGGAATCCCACACTTCTGATTTCAGATTAGTTGATATTCTAAGTTAAAAAAATCAATTGAAATGAAATTTAATAATTTATTTACAACTCTGTGCTTCGCTAGATATTAGATCTGTATCTAATATACATATCTAATATTGTATCTGTATAATGTTAGAGCTAAAGGCTTTGTATTATTTGTACAGATACAAGTGTATAATTTTATTTATACCTTTTTTCTTTCACTTTTACAAATTATTCAAAGGCTAGTATGCTATCAAAGAGACCTAAATTTGAAATGACACCAAATTGGAAGAGTGGTGAAATGATGAAAATCAACTTGTACAGTTTCCAAAGGCTGAGTTTATCATTAAAAAAGTGGCAGCTACACTTCAGTAAAAGTAAAGTTATGAACTTCGGCAGAACAAAGGGTAGAGAGGATCATGCCCTAAATGGAAATGTACCCACAAGGATGGAGACCTTGGTGTTTTGATACATGGGTCATCAAAACCATTTCACAATTTTACCTTCTTTAACTTGACTACCACTTTCATCCGTTAGTTCCACCTTCTTCTCTATCTCATTGTTTTACTGTTAAAATGCAGGAAGAACCTTTTACTATTAAACTCAACATCTTAGCAACACTCATCTCTAGGGTATTCTTTGTACTTCAAAGATTCCTTTTCAATGAACCCTCCCAGAGTCCTCTCCTCCATTTCCTGTAGCTTTGTACAACTCGCTTTCTTATTTATTCCCAATTTAAGTGTTCCAGTCAATACTGGAACACTTAAATTTTGGAGAATGCTTAATCGGCTTACCTTTAATCAATGTAATCATGCAGATACATATATAGTGCAACCTTGTTATAAGGCAGCTGTCGGGATAGATAAAACCCAAACCTGCTTTAATAACGGGGCTGTGGTAATGCTTCCGCACTCACTGTACTTTCATGAAGCTGATCAGATCATTTCCCACGCGCTGGCTTATGTATTAAAAAAAAGGTCAGCTTCCAAGTCCAGTCTCCAGGAAGTAGTTTCTAGAGTGACTTGATGACTTGACTTTTTGGTCCTTTTTTTTAAAAAAAGTGTGTCATTTGGCTGACAGTAGAGGTGCAGTGAATGCGGCTCACACATCCTCTATTTACCTTGCATGCCCAACGTTATCATTTACAAATGTTCCTCAGCTGAAATATATTTCAGAATATTTCGCAATTAATTCCTTTTGTGTTCTTTCCACATTCTTACCAGGTTTACAAAAACTTTACAAATACAGTCACATCACAGAAATCCTGTGAGTTCTTTGAAACATTCTCAACTTATACATACTACAGTCAAATATACCTTCAACAATCACTGAGAGAACCGACCCAAAGTGATCTTTATATAAAGGTGACCTCTGAGTCAGGGTTCCTGGGTGTGTGAACTGGACTGTCCTTTCTGTTCCAGGGTGATTGTTAGCAAGGGTTGTTTGTTGAATGGCATTGGTTGCTTGAACAGGTTTGACTGTACATCAAACTAAGGGTTATTAACATTATAATATATTTTTACCCTATTAAGGAAGCATGGAATTTCCTGCTCAACACAACATCTAGGTTGCTTTCAGGCTGTATTAGAAGGTTCCGTGCTGACATGTTGCCCCCTGAACACCATCTTCTTGTCCTGAAACAATCTCCATTCAGTAATGTTGAAAATAACAACAAATTACATTTGTATAGCGCCTTTCACGTTGGGAGGGCATCCCAAGGCGCTGGATAGTCAAGAATTTAGACCAGGATTGAAATGGTATAACATTTATTTTCTGGAGCTGCACTATCTGCTTTTGCACATCAGCCAAATGGTCCATACACTGTGCTGAACTTTTGCATTGATTGAAACAGTTAATGGCTTAATGATCTAATTAGTCTGCATTTCATTTTTCAGGTTATTCTGGGTGCAATGAGGCTTCCTAGGGATAGATTTCATTCATTAAAATAATCCACCACTTAAATAATGCATGCTGGAACAAGTTGTTCATTTCATAGTGACTATAACTATCGACAATATTGAAGAAATCACTGAAAGCCATTTGCTTGGTTTGGGCAATTGTCTGGGGAGTTCTGTGAATTAGTTGAATGGCACATGCACAGATGTGATTTTTTACACTTATGACATTGCATTGGATATTGTTTGGCTTGTTGAGAAGAAGGGACTTTTGCCTTAGAACAGAAGAACATAAGAATTAGGAGCAGGATTCGGCCCCTCGAGCCTGCCCCGCCATTCGATAAGATCATGGCTGATCTTCTGACCTAACTCTAATTACCTGCCCTATCCCCATATCCCTCTATTTTTTAAAAATCTATCAGTCTCAGCCTTGAAAATGTTCAAGGACTGAGCATCTACACCCATTTATTCCATAAATTCACTACCCTCTGAGTGAAGAAATGTTTCATCTACTCTGTTCTAAAAGGCTGACCCTTAATTTTAAGACTGTGACCCCTGGTTATAGATTCTCCTACCAGGAAAAAAGTCCCTCAGTGTCTACTTTATCCAGCCCTTTAAGAATCTTATATGTTTCAATAAGATCTCCCCTAATTCTTCTGTACTCTAGAGAATACAGCCCTAGTTTATTCACCCTATCCTCACCCTATCATCAAGGCTCTATACAGTTGCAGCAAGACTTCCCTACTCTTGTACTCTAAACCTTTTCCAATGAATGCTAACATGCCGTTCGCCTTCTTAGTTGCTTGCTGCACCTGCAAACTAACTTTTAGAGACTGGTGTACAAGGACACCCAAATCCCTCTGTACACTAACACTATCTAATCTCTCCCCCTCTAGAAAATAATCTGTTTTTTCTACTTTTGCTACCTAGGTGAATAACTTCACACTTCCCTACAATAAATTCCATCTGCCACCTACTCGCCCACTCCCCTAGCCTATCTATATCCCGTTGCAATCTTTCTGCATCATCCTCAGAGCTTACTCTCCCACCTAGTTTAGTGTCATCCACGAATTTAGATATGTTGCATTCAATGTCCTCATCTAGATCATTGATGTAAATTGTAAATAGCTGAGGCCCAAGCACTGATCCTTGTGGCACTCCACTAGTCACATCCTGCCAATTCGAGAATGACCCGTTTATCCCTACTCTCTGTTTTCTACCAGTTAGCCACTCTTCAATCCATGCTAATATGTTCCCATTAATCCCGTGGGCCTTAACCTTGTGCAGTAGCCTTCTGTGTGGCACTTTGTCAAATGCCTTTTTAAAATCTAAATATACTACATCTACTGGTTCCCCCATATCTGACGCTAGATACATCTTCAAAAAACTCTAAATGATTAGTTAAGCATGACTTCCCTTTTGTAAAGCCATGTTGACTCTGCCTAATCTTGTTATGGTCTTCCAGGAATCCCATAATGACATCCTTAATTAAGGACTCAAGAATTTTCCCTACCACTGATGTCAGACTAACTGGTCTATAGTCCCCATCTTTTCTCTCCCACCTTTGTTAAATAGTGGTGTTATGTTTGTAATCTTCCAATCAAGGAACAGTTCCAGAATCCAGAGAATTTTGGAAGATCAAAGTCAAGCCATCCACTATCTCAGTTGCCACCTCTTTTAAAATCCTAGGATGTAGGCCATCAGGTCCATGGTACAGCAGAAAGTCAGAGAACCAGGCTTGGTAAACATTTAATGTCGAGACCCCTCTTTAATGTAGCTCAGGACATAGGAGGCAATGAAGACTGAGCTTTCTGACTTAACTGTATTCTCTTTTAGGAGGAAGAAGTTCCAATTCTAACTCTGGGTGATTAAATTAAGGTGTTTTGAGTCTCCACTTCCGACTCCACTGCAGACTAGGGGAAGCTGTTCTGGATAAAGGTGGTTCTGGACTTCTTACTAGAAGCTGATGAAGTTGAGAAGCATGATGTCACCAATGCAACATTATATCTCATCATCTGCTGATTTACTTGGAGCTGGACAGTGCTTATATCAACAGCATCTGTTTAGCATAGCACATCTTGCAACAATCTTGCAGTGATTCAAAACACAAATGTTTATACTGCTGCACTGTTGATATCAGAAATAATAGCAGTATGCATTTCAGGGATTCATAAATGGTGAATCCTGCACATATCCACATGCACCTCATTCCAATTACCTGGAAGGGAAGTCAGATTATGGCCAAGATTGGTGTCTGGAATGAGTTTCAGCGATTTGGTATGAGAAATGTCCCATTTTATGAAGAAATCGATACTCTCAAATTCTTTTACAAATCTCCGCAATAAATAAATCCCAGGCCAATGGCTTTCTTAATATGATAGCCGTTATCCATCAAAATCTACAAAAGATCAAAATCTACAGAATTTGAGAAAATCTACAAAATCATCATTAAGTATAGTGTCTATCATCACTGTTGATAGTGATATTCAAATAAATTCCACTTTGATCTCAGCACAGTTCCACACTAGTGTAGAAATGCTGTATCCAACTAGGTCTCAGTGGGATACAAAATCTTCTTTCATTCCTTCTCTGTTGAACATCAGCAAGCAAAGTAGCTAATAATGTTGAAGATTGCTAACCTGGGCTCCAAGTTCATTATATTGCAGTTTCAGGGCTGTGAGCCGCTCGTCCAGTTCTTTGGGATTCTCTGTTTGCTGTTTCTGCACAATCTGGCGTCCAGTTTTAATTACCGTTTCCACTTCAGACTTCACTTCACTCAGACTTTTATACAACTTCTAAAAATTGGGCATCAGAAAAAAATCATTGGCATGTGCTCTCTCTCACTTGGTAGAATTCAAACTATGTACATGAGAAAATTGAAGCATAGTACACCACGCTAAACAAGGGCTGCACAACAAGGCTTTTTTTTGGTTATAGCTGAACTTTATTCATTGAGGTATAATATTTAATTCACAAAAGAGGTGGGAAACACAAATGACAAAATCCCAAAGTGCAGTAAAACAGCCACTGAGCAAATTATAACAGTATACAATAATAATCCTTGCATTTGATACATTGCCTTATCACATCTTCGAGACGTCTCAAAGCGCTTCACAGAATATACTGTAAAGTGAATTGACTGCATGTTTTGTGGGCGAAATGCAGAAGCCAATTGCGCACAGAGGTGTCCCACAAACAGTTGTGGATTGTATGACCAAACTATTATTACTTTTAAGTTATTTTGTTTTGTGAAGGGATTATTACCTCCGGAAAAGCGATCCGCCAATCGACTAACAACTGGGTTCCTAGTTACTGTTAGGTAAACAGAGGAGTGTGTGCAGAGTACTTGCCCAAAATTTCGCCCTGCTCGGGAATCGAACCCAGATCCTTTCGCTTGCGAGGCAAATGGTCTAATCACTAAGCCACAGGACTCCACAACCACTAAGCCACAGGACTTTACGGTTGTTCACTCCTCTATTTCCTGTCTCTTAGCTTTTGGTTACCCGATCTGACTACTCAGGCTCAGCTCAAACAGGAGGCTCAAATTAGCAACTCCCACTGCTGCGTGAATATTGTAAAATTAGACCCCATTGTCTTACATTTTTTGTCAAATTTTGTCAATGTGGAAAACTCCATTTACATCAATTTGATGCAAAAATCAAACTTATTCAGACAGAAACTTGTTCTTATTTTTGTTATTATGAACTCAAGGGTGTAGGATGGACTTAAAGGTTGGAGAAAAGCTTCTATACCTACCATAAAATTATCAAGTTGTGATTGCACAAAGTCAGGCTCCACACTGCTGGTCTCCAATTTATCCAGTTCTGCTTTCACCTCATCCAGGAGCCTCTTACACTCCAAAAGATGCTGCTCAAAGTTTGCTGGTTTTTGGAACAAGCGGAACTTGGTGGACACTTCCTGCTGCTTCTTCTGCAAAATGAGGCACCGAATGTGTGAACAAAAGACACCAGCAAATAAAAATATAATAAATCCCAATAATAGAATTGGATTTCTCTGCTGAGAGTTGATAATATAAGTGAGGTACTCAGCTCCATCTGCTTGCACCAATCCCTCTACCTGTTTCTGTGTTTGTGTGTGTGTGTGTGTGCGCGCAAAATGTTAATCGATGACCCAAACCAAACTGTTGAAAGGTGGTTTGAGACTTCAAGACAATATTTTGCATAACAAAAAGGCAAAATTACAGCTAACAAAATCAGTAATTTAAAAAGGGTTATGAAAACTTTTTCAAAATGATTCGACCTCCAATGCTGCAAACCAATCACTTAAGCATTGCACAAAACACATCTAGTTGAAGAAAAGTACAGTATATGAGAACAATTTTGTTTATTTACATCTAATACTTTCAGGGTTCAATGGATGAGAATTCCACCTCCAGCAGGATTTGAGATGAAAATACAATATATTTCACACTACCTTGATATCAATTTAGCCATGTAATATAATAATAATAATCCTTGCATTTGATATAGTGCCTTATCTGCCTCCCCCTCCTCTCTCATAACCACCATAACCCGCATGAAACCGACCACCTGCTACCTCAACCACATCCCTTACCCTCTCCTTACCTCCCAGCTCCACTTCCTTGCCCCTCTTCTCACTGACATCATTAACCTCTCCCTGTCCTCGGGTAATGTTCCCACCCCATTAAAAACCACCCGGCTCTGCCACTGTCTCACACCGCAGGCCGCAGAAACCCTCATACATGCTTTCACTACATCGAGGCTTGACTATGCAAACTCCTTGCTTGTTAGCCTCCCCAACTCCTCCTTCCACAGGCTGCAGATCATCCAGAACTTATTCTCTCCCGCACTAGGCTCCGCAACCCTATCACCCCTATCCTCGCCCAACTCCACTGGTTTCCCATCACACAGAGGATACAGTTTAAGATCCTGGTCCTCTCCTTCAAAGCCCTCCATGATCCTGCTTCCCCCTACCTTAGTGACCTCCTAACCCCCTACCATCCTGCTTGCTCCCTCCGCTCAGTGGGCTCTGGCCTGCTTCGTGTCCCCCACGTCGCTCGCCCCACTATTGGCGGGCGGGCCTTCTGCCACTCTGTCCGCACCCTCTGGAAATCCATCTCCTAGTCCCTCTGCCTCTCCCCCTCCCTTGTCAGCTTCAAGACCCATCTCAAGACCCTCCTCTTCAACCGTGCTTTCGATCTCCTTGCTTCCCCCCCTGCCCTCCACCCTCCCCAACCCCAAGCTCGGGTCCGTGACTCTGTCTGTCCAGCGCCTTGGGACATCCTCCCTATGTGAAAGGCGCTATACAAATGTAATTTTGTTGTTGTTATTATCACGTCTTCAAGACGTCTCAAAGCGCTTCACAGAATATACAGTCAAGTGAATTGACTGTATATTTTGTGGGCGAAACACAGCAGCCAATTCCGCACAGCAATGTCCCTCACAGTCATGGATTGAGTGACCAGTTTATTATTAAAAGTTTTTTTAAAATAATTATTACCCCTGAAAAGCAATCCACCAATCGACTAACAACTGGGTTCCTACTTATTGCTAGGTAAAAAGAGGTGTGTAGAATAAAAGAAACTTGCCCTGTTAGAAATCAAATCCAGGTCTTTTGCTTGCGAGGCGAATGCTCTAACCACTGAGCGCCAGGACTCCAATAGGCAAAGTACAACACAGAGCTATGGCCAAAGAGACAAAATACAATGCAGAGTTGCATTGGCAGGAATTGCCTGAAAAGTGCTCTGAAATGTTTTGACTTTACAGGCACTAGATCAAATAAAAATATCATTTTTATTCATTAAAATGTTCCTGTGTACAAATGAATAAATCATGACCAATAATCCTCAGGATACAGAATGGGAGACCATTGGAAAAGCAACGTATAGTTTTATATATTATTTATATATATATACTCATACATATAAAAATATATAGTCCAAGTCCACATTTCCACTGATTTCTAGTACTTGTTTATTGAGTTGTAGTTTGGGGTCTATGATTAGTCCAAAGACATTTTGCATTATTTTACAAAAATAAGTCAATGTATGGGAGGCCTGGCACTTAAGTGTCATTGACAACATTAAGCTAGCAGAGGTGAGCAAGTTACCAAGAAACCAAGTGGATCATCAAGAAATATACAGAGCCACAACAGCGAAGAGGAGAAAAACTGTTGTTTCACTAATCAAGTTCCCTAATTCCCGAGACCAATTTCCCTAGTGTTGCTGCAAAAGGTGTGATTTAAAACCCTAAAAAAAGGTGGCATTTCCTCTAAAATAAAGGATAAAGGGGGGAAATAGATCCTGGGATCACTTGCGCCACAAGCAATATAACATGGTTACGCAGCTTTCTTCACTCAAATCTCAGTTCAGAACCAGCCATGCAGGAACCTGCCCTTGGGACTTTATCTCAGATTGCATTCTGTCACTGCCTTGACTAACTGTCATGAAAGTCCTATCATTGAAAGTACAATTATTCCGTTTCAAATATAAGATATTTCAAATATCTGTAATGCATTTCACAAGATACGTGAATTATAGACTGTCAAAAAGTGATGCCCTTTGCCGCTTGAAGAAGAAAATGGACATTTTATGTGGAAATCTGTATCTTCCTGCTTGCACTAAATCTACATCAAATAATTTGAAGCCAATGCACTTTTCTCAAGAAACAACACAACCAATTTTTTAAATTGACACACTTCAAGCGATATGCGGGGTAAGGTGATTGACAACAAGTAAAACTCGTTCTCTATCTTTCTATTTCCCAGCTGACACAAAAAGGTCCTGGACATTACTCATTTATAAAGCATGAAATCACAAGAGAACCAAACCACACAACAGGTTTCTCACTTAGATCAGTGTTGGGGAATGATTTTCAATCTGAAGTGACAGGATGATGATCACCATAAAAACTGAGAAACTTCACATTTTCCCACCATGTAATCACGGTTTGTGCCAAGGAATGCAAAGTATTTTTTCTCAGAGGATAAAAAGAACCTCAGTGTTCTTTCAGAAATCATCTTTCTATCCTTCCAAATCATCATCACGCTTCAATTCTTTGGGAGTATATTGCAGAAGATGAGGCATAACTGCAAAAGTGCCTGAAAGAATAATAATTTAGCTTACACAGCAGGGGAATTTTCTGAAGCTGATGGCTTGAAAATTGGCAGCTCTTTGACAATGATGAACTATGGAAAGCCTTTGAAAGTTTTACTACCACTTCTTCACCCAGATTAAAGGTGAAGGATATGCCAAGGCTAGCCATGAGGTGCAATGAATACTTCCTCACGCATGTGTATATAACCGATTATTGCTTTGTGATCAATCACAGGTGAGCTACAGTCATCCCAGAATGGCAATATTTAATAGTTAATCTACTACAAGGTATGTTAAACATATTTTGTTTATGAGACTGAAATTGGGTTTTCAATCTCCTGGGTCTTCCCAGCAAAGAACGAGCCCCCAACCTTCCCAGAAAACACAGTTTAGGGTACAATAAGCCCCATAGTTTACCATAGGGGACCTGGAATTCATACCTCGTTGGACTGGGCCCGAAATGGAAATGTTTCATTTAAATTCCACAGAGACGCATGCACACACACACAATTCCTATCAACCCCATTCCCCTAGCCTGCGCTCTCACCTCACTGTGCTTGCTGACCTTCAGTGGCCAGGGAGGTCGACTTTGACTTAGTTTGAATCCTGCGAGCAGAAAACAACTTATTCTCTATCTTTTGCTCGCGGGATTCAAATAATTCAAATGATACCGGCATTTTTGGCAATGAAGAAAGCCGGTTAATGCTGACACTAGCATTGTAATTACACTGAGCCAGAAATTCTGGCTCACTGGACCAGATCTCCCCCTCCTCCCCACCCATTAGTCCGGCTAGCCAGTTTTTTTTCGTAGAGTTTTCAAATTGTAGCATCACCAAGAAGTCAAAGTGAATCCTCCAACCCCAGCCCCTCACTACACATAAATTTTTAATGCCAAGTGATCCATAGATCTTTTGCTCATTTGTGCATGGTATATCTGTTTGAGTGTGTGTGTCTGTATGTGTGTGTAAGATCTTCTTGGAATGTGGAAACTCCGAAACAGTCTGGAATCTCTCTCCTCCTGGAGATTTACACAAAACAGTCCTTTAGGCATGGGCACGTACATTCCCACAAACAACAACAACTTGCATTTATATAGTGCCCTTCACATGGGATCGCGTCCCGGAGTACTTGGCAGTGGCTTAGTCTGACACCGAGCCAGTGGGAGAGGGAGGGGTCCGCTTAACATAAACACGATCAAAAAGGTCTTTAGGCCGGATTTGAAAGTGAGGAGAGAGAAGGAAATGTGGGGTAATTGAGGAAGAGAGTTCCAGAGTTTCGAGGCGTAGAGGGACAAACAGGAGGCTGGAACCAGCTAAGCAGAAGCAGGGGGTGGTAGAGTGGGGTGTAAACAGATCACATAAGTAGGGAGGCGCGAGGGCACAAAGCAATTTGAAAACGAATAGAGGATCTCAAAATCAATCCATTCAGTAATTGGGAACCAGTGGAGCCTGGCAAGGACTGGTGTGATGGGGGTATGGAGTTTTGTGTGAGTATCTAGGCAGCGGAGTTTTTATTTAATTGAACTTTGTGCATGGTGGAGCTGGGGAGACCAGCGAGAAGGGCACTGGAATAGTCCAACCAGGAAATGACGAAGGCGTGGACGAGCATTTTGGCTGCGTTGGTTGTGTGGTACAGACAGAGGAGGGCAACGTAACGGAGATTTAAAAAAGCGGTCCTGTCAGGGAACGGACCTGGGGTAGATAGGAAAGTTGGGGATCAAACCTGACATCTAAGTTGTACACGCATTCAGTGAGTCTGAGGGAGAGCCCAGGGAGGTTGAGAAGACGTTGACTGGAGCCAAAGAGTATGTCTCCCATCTTGCCGACATTTAGCTGCAGTAAATTTGCACTCATCCAGGCCTTGATGTCCGTCAAACAAGCTGACAGGACATCAGCGAACTGGGAGTCGCAGCTGGAGGAGAAGTAGATTTGGCTGTCATCTGCATACATCTGGAAGTTAATCCCATGGCTGCGGATTACATCGTCAAGAGGGAACATGTGGATAAGGAAAAGAAGGGAGCCAAGGATGGAGGCCTGGGGTACGCCATAGGTGACCGGGCGGGGGTGGGAAGAAGAAAATTTGCCAAGATGTATTGTTGGCGGTTTGTCAAGTAGGACTCAAATCATGCGATCGAGATCCCACTAACGTGGATGAGGGAGGAGAGGCTGTGGAGGAGGATGGTGTGATCAATTGCGCTGAACGTGGCGGAGAGGTAAAAGAGAACGAGGAGGCAGGGGGAATCCTGGTTAAAGAGAGAGGAGGCGTCAAACACACACAAATGTCACACAGATTGTGATCCTCCCTCCTCTGCTGTTAAAAATGGTGTGAGAATATTAAATTGGTGCCTCCACCAAATCCTAGGAACTGTTATCTAACTGTCCCAAACCTCAAACAGCACCATATCCCAATATTTACATTCTCAATCCAACAACATTCACATATGAATGGAGTCTCCTACAAGTATCTCATGCTAAAACTCTATTACAATTCCACAAATATGCACACACAATTTCTCTGAATTAAAAAACACGATAGAAAGATTTGGGGGTAAGACAACAGAAAATAACATTGAAATTTATGGCAATTTTGTTTGAAAGTCACATACCCGAGGCAAGGATGGGAAAATGGGAGGGACATTTAAGGTTTGAAGTTGTTAAAGTCAATGTCCAAGGCAGCAGATCCAAGAAGATGAAAACCTGCAACTGAATTTTGTGTTGTGCTTGATTGGGAGAATGAATGAGGCGAAGGATACCTAAAAAATCACTATGACATTTGGTAAGATATTTGGGGACTTGGTTAGCATAAAAAGTGAGGGACTGCATAAAAAAGTGAGGGACTAAAAACAAAATCTGTTTCAGTTGCAGGGAACAGTTGCTGAAGAAGAGCAATACTTGGAGCACCAACTCTGGAAAATATTGACGTACCTGCACCAATGCTAGAAAAATGTTGGATGGAGTATCTATACCAATGTGGGAGTAATATTGGGAGTACCTGAGCCAATGTTGAAGTAATTTTGAAACGTGAGTTAACAATTACCTGTGCCACGTCAATCTGTGAAAGGACTCGTCCTGCAGATTTACTCTGCCCCGCACCGTTAATGGCCTGGTTTCTTTTCTTCATTTCTTCCAAACTTATCTCATGACTACTCAACTCAGATTGGATTTTCTGTTTGAACAATAAATATGCACAAAGATGAGTGACAAATTCCATCAATTCACAATTAGAAATAAAGAATCTTCCTTTAGAAAATATTTGAAGGTGTTAGCATGATCAGAATCCAGAACACTATCCAGAATTTAAATATTTGCTGAGATGCTTAAATCTAAGGCAAAGAATAGGGCATTAAATCAAACAAGCGCAACAGAAATTATCAGAAGAAAATTCCCTCCCTTTGAAAATTCTTTAAGCGTCATGGGAAATAAACATCTGAGACAACGTTAAACGAGATGTCAATATCTACTGAGCCCACAATTCCATCCAAATGTATCAGTGGAGCCAGGATCATTTGATTCACAACCAGAAACATATCCTGAAGATTATCAACACAATTTGCAAGTTTGGAGGGTGTTGGAAAGTGATCTTTTCTGTACCCAGTGACCTAACTTTATCAACATGTTTTCAGAAAATCAACTTCTCTCTTCAATAAACTTAAATCTTTCTGGCATGTACAAGCAACAAGGGATCTTCACTACATGTCAGTAGGGAAGTGTATGATGACATGAAATATTATTATAATTGGGTTCTTATTTACATCTGGCTGAGTTGCAGCAGATCTGAAAAGCAAAATAAACCTGAAGTCTTGTTTAATTATTTAGAGCCGGCCTAGTTATTTCAAGTATGCATGCAGGATTTTGCACATTGTCCCTGTCTGTATTGATGTGCTTACGTGATGGTGCAGTGATTAGTTAAAATATATCAGTCAACCCTGGCTATATTCCAGCAACTCAAAAAAGAGTCAGGTAATATTTTTGGAAGAAAATCACGGAAACTTAGAAAATAAACAATTCTACCAATGCATTCGGACTGTTCTTCAGACGATCTGCTGCTCATCATCTGCCGTTAGCACCTGTATCCCCCAAACTCAGAACTCATCCAAATAAGGACTAGCCTTCATAACATCGAGTGCTGCGTTTTGGCAATCAGGCACTATATCAAATGCAAGGATTATTATTATTATTATTAGGACATGGTAAAGTGTCCTTATAATAATAATAATCCTTGCATTTTATATAGTGCCTGATTGCTTTGTGGAGACCTCTCAAACAATTCACAGAATATACTGTAAAGTGGTTTGACTGTATAATTTATGGGTGAAATACAATGCACAACAATGTCCTACAAAAAGCAATGGAGTAAGTGACCAGTTTTATTTGGGGGATTTATTGGCCAGAACACCGGGAGAAACTCCCTACTGCCTTTGAATAGTGCCATAGACCTGAACAGGCAGACACACTGGAGTGTCAGCTTAGACTATGTGATTCCAAGTTTGCGTGGAGTTGAACCCATAACCTTCTGATTCAGAGGTGAGAGTATTACCACTGACACACATGGGAAGAGCGAATGCTTCATTCCCAATCACATCTTAAGTCCTTATTTATTTTGCAAGCTCCCTATTCCGTCACAATTGCCGCAACCTTCAACCCCTTTGCCTATTGTTTACCCATCAGTCATTCTTGCTCTCATTCAATACACTCACATTCAAGTCTATCCACTTCCACTTTTTTTTACTATCATCCCCAATCACTCTTACATTTATCCCCTCTTCCACTATCCTCAGTACCTTCTCTCCCTCAGGTTTCAATTTCACTTGACCTGCATTCTTCCATTGTGTGGTTTATCCTGCTTCCTTCTTGGATCTGCAAACCTTTCTTGCTCCTATCCCATTACTCAGCCTCTTTCATTGAGGTGACGTCTGTTTGGTCTGATGGGTCCTTTTCCTCAATGAAGACAAACAGCTGAGCAACAACAACAACTAGAAGATGTTGCAAGGCGCTGGACAATCAATGTTTTGGACCCAAGCTGGGGGTCGGGATTCGGGAAGGTGGAGGGCAGGGGGGAAGGGGGTTGATCGAAAACACAGTCAACGAGGAGGGTCTTGAGATGGGTCTTGAAGGAGGCAAAGGAGGGGTGAGGCAGAGCGCCTGCGGGATGGAGTTCCAGAGGGTGGGGGCAGAGTGGAAGAAGGCCCACCCGCCAATGATGGGGTGGGCAAAGTGTGGGACGTGGAGCAGGCCGGAGCCCGCTGAGTGGAGGGAGCGGGCAGCATGGTGCAGGATAGGAGGTTGCAGAGGTAGGGGGGAGCAAGACCATGGAGGGCTTTCAAGGTGAAGACCAGAATCCTCATTGTATTCTCTGTGTGATGGGAAGCCAGTGGAGTTGGGCGAGGATGGGGGTGATAGATCACGGAGACTGGTGCAGGAAAAAACATGGGCTGCAGAGTTCTGGATGATCTGCAGCCTATGGAGGGAGGAGTTGGAGTGGCCAACAAGCAAGGAGTTTGCATAGTCAAACCTGGATGTTATGAAAGCATGTATGAGCGTTCCGTTGACCTGCGGGGTGAGACAGTGGCGGAGCCAGGCAATGTTGTGGAGGTGGGGGAAGGCAGAGCGAGTCATGGCATGGATGTGGGGTAAAAAGTATAATTGGGGATCAAACAAGACACCAAAGTTCTGGACTGGCTTAGTAAGGTAGTGTGTGCAACCATGCCTAGTGATGCTGTCAGCACCTGAGGTGAGGAGACACTGACGAGAGCCAATCAGGAGGACTTCGGTCTTGTTGACGTTCAACTGAAGAAAGTTAGCTCTTACCCAGGACTTGATGTCTGACAGACATTCTGGAGTCAAGGGTGGAGGCCGAGGGGAACAGTTTTGTGTCAGCTGCATTCATGTGGAAGTTAACCCCATGTCTGCGAATGATGTCACCAAGAGGAAGGGGAATATTAAGTATTGAATATTGAAGAGGAGGGGACCAAGGACAGAGCCCTAAGGTATCCCGCAAGAGACGGTGCAGGGTTAGAGGAGAAACAGTTGAAGATGAAGGTGGAGATGAAGTGGAGATGGTGTGAGAGGTACGATCTGAACTATTCGAGGACAGAACCCTGAAGGTTGAGGTGAGAGGAGAGGCGGTGAAGAAGGATAGAGTGGTCAATGGTGTCAAAGGCAGCAGAGAGGTCAAGGAGGACAAGGCAGAGGAGCACTGGTCACAAATGGACAGAATGTTATTTGTCACTTTGACCAAGGCTGTTTCTGTGCTGTGGGCGGCACGGAAACCCAATTGGAGAGGTTCTTGAAGGGAGTGACAAGAGAGGAAGGAGCAAAGCACTGACTCATTCCAGGACCTTGGAGAGGAAAGGGAGGTTGGAGATGGGGCAATATTTTGAGAGCAGGAATGGGTCCAGGAAGGTTGTTTAAGGATAGGAGTGATGACTGCCATTTTTAAAAGGGTGGGAATGGTAGAAGTAGTCAGGGAGAGATTTATGATGTCTGTGAGTAGAGGGGCAAGGAGGTGGAACTGGGAGGTAAGGAGAGTGTTAGGAATGGGGTCAAGGGAGCGGGTGGTTAGTTTCATTCAGGTTATAGTGGCAGTGAGAGAGGAATGGGAGTCAGGTTCAAAAGACGCTGATCTCATTGACAACACGTCCACGGTAAGAATGTGGCTCAACAAAAGCAAAGAAAACAAATGAGCCATCTCGAATTATGAATTGGGATGTGTTGTTGTGCATTATTTTATTTCTGTGATCCCACTGAGCTGAGCCACTCAATTTGACAATTTGATGAGCGTTTTTGCATCAGTGCAGTAATATGCCATCCTGTTTAAGAAAATAATGTCTGTGCTGAGGGAAAAACTGCCCAACACGGAGATGCATATAAGATAACATCTCAAAAGCGTCTTGTACCAATTATTGGAGCTTCCGTTTTTCGATGTCTAACAAATGCGTGTTAAAAATGTTATGTTAGAAATTCTTTAAAATATATCCATGTCTCTACTTGTCCATTCCATCACATCACCTTGTGCTGTCAGTACTACTGGGGTTAAAAAAGCAAATGCTTTGTCAAAGATATGATAATTATTGTATCTGCTATTGGGGACTGTTCTGAGTCATACCTTTTTCTTGCTATTCCTAAAGACTGGTAGATAAAATAATCAATACACCTCCCCAATTTAGCACAATCATTTGTTTAATCTGAAACCAAATCCAAGATTTTAAATGCCATCCTCCTGGATTTCCATATTGTGACCCTGATTGCTCCCAATCGTTAGAAATAAGTAAAGACTGGAATATACACAATTAGGCTATTTAAAATGAAGGTTTTAAATTAACAACAGGATCCATATTGTCAACAACAAAAAAATAAGTCACTGGGAACACTCAGCAGGTCAGGCAGCATCTTTGGAGAAAGGAAAGTGAGTCAACGTTTCAGGTGCATGACCCTTCGTCAGAACAGAGCATCATGGACCCGAAAACGTTGACTCAGTTTCCTTTTTCCATAGCTGCTGCCTGACCTGCAGAGTGTTCCCAGTGACTTCTGTTTTTGTTTCAGATTTCAGCATTTGCAGTATTTTGCATTTTGTCCACATTATCAATTTTGTTTAAACCAATCTAGATCTTTTTTTCCCCCCATCCAAAAAATTAGCACGAAAATAAAAACAGTTAGTAATTTGATTAGCACATTTCAAGATTTTAATCATTTAATCCACTTATTTCTCAACAGCTCTGCAATTCCTCTTCAACTGTGCCTACAATCATCTCCACCCTCTATCTGGCTCAGTGACAAGTTCCGCCACTGTTAAGCACTCCTAGGCGCTATTTAACTGCAAGTTGTTTATTGCTACTCTAAATGAACCAGTTGCTATTGATTATCGTTATTTATAATAATAATAATCCTTGCATTTGATATAGCGCTTTTCACGTCAGGAGGACGTCCCAAAGCGCTTCACAGAACACACTGTAAAGTGAATTGACTGTATATTTGTGGGCGAACGCGGCAGCCAATTGCACACAGCAATGTCCCACAAACAGTCGTAGATTGAAAATGACCAATTTATTATTGTTTTGGGTTTTGGAGGGATTATTATTAGGCGTGTGGAGTAAGGAAACTTGCCCAAGGTTTCGCCCTGCCTGGAATTGAACTCAGGTCTCTCACTTGCAAAGCGAGTGCTCTAAC